GAAGGGGGGTGGGGAGAAAAGAAAAGAATAAAAAATGCATAGATGTACATTCAACGTATAATAAACTAAAATAACATGCGACCATATATGACTTAAGATTCTTTTTAAATGTTTCTGGGGATTCTAGTGATCGGATCCTCAGTGGAAGAAAGATGAAGGAAACATCCCTAATATCGGACGGATATTTCATGGACTACTCTTACAAACAATAGGTTTTGTGCAAGAATTAATGCTATAAAATCCCCCCAAAAATGCAATCGTGAACATCATCATACAGCAAAAAAATTGGAGTCCATTACCATAATTATTACAAAAAGTAATCCAGTAAGTTGCTTAAAGTAACATATTTCTATCGACAATTTAACTGCAAATACCTAAACATGGTCTTCTTTCTTTTCTTTACGACCAAACGATATTGCATTTTCATTCGCATATCACAACCAATTACAAGGATATTTGGCTTTACACATGTCCAAGTCTTAAGTTTCATTATCTACTTTGTATTTCCAAGTCTTAAGTTTCATTACCTACTTTGTGTTTCCATCTTGTTGATAAACTTTGAATTTTTCCCTGAACTAGGCACTAATCTACGCACATTATATAGAGTAATTAAAGCACACATCAGGAGACTCTTTGTTCCTCTTCGGGATTTATTTCCTTGACAACATCACACTGACTGGTAAGCCATTTACATGCAAGCAATACAAAAATAAGACATGCTACAGAGTTAAAGATATCAACTTAGCCTTTCATCACACAAGTTCTTGGATTTTTAAACAATTATAGCTAAATCTGCAGTGAGTTTCTGCATTAGAATAAATCACAACCCAATACGGATATCTTAAACAAGTAAATAAAACTACTGAGTTCAAAGATAAAAAACACATTTGATGAATTTTCCACTTGACTGAAAAGAATGAGTAACTATATGCCCAATCAAAAATTTTCATTAGTTCCTATATTTGACCTGTCCAATGACATGGTAGTTAAAATTCAACTTTCTTGAACCATCATGATATACAAGAGATATTTCTTCTCTGATTAAATATAAAAGGTCCCTGAAATGCCCCCCCCCCCCCCCTCTCAAAAAAAAAATCTTCTTGATGGCAGAGAAATGACTGAAATGAATTTCTTTTAATTTATTAACTCATTGCATTGTATTTTTGAAATCATTGCAACGAATTAAGTTACAATTAGCAGTAAGATAAATTATATATTTCATTAATTGTGAACTTTTTCATGAAATAGCAATCACATTTTGAGATATTCTCTATAATGAACATAAGTTATGTGATTAACAAACTATTATCTGTAGCAATGCAACTTGACATCAATAGCAATATAATATTACGTATCTTGTAATTGTGATCAGAACTTTCAAATATAACAGAAGTTACGTTCATTACATGTATACCACTTGTGCTCTACAAATCAGACTGGTATGTTCTCACAGATGTGCATGTTTAAAGTGGACAAATATGAACAATAAAATCCATGAATGTCAATGATGCTAGTAAAAAGTCTAAAAACTCATTATGTTTTTTAATACATAATGCATATTAATTCAGTATTTGCTCCTTTCCTTCTTCATAATACGATGCAAATAGCGTTGGCATTTCCTTTCTTCAGTCATTAATACATGCAACTCCAAATCGCTTTTACATTTTGGCGTCATATAAATGTCATTAAAGAAAATCAAAAAGCATATTTAAAGCACAGAGCCTCTGAAAATCAGCTCTCAAATTTAAAATCATAATTGAATGCGTATGTACAATGTAATAACATACTTAACTTTGAATGATAATATCCAACAATTTTAGCGACACTTAAATTTATGAAGCTAATGTTGATCAAGTACAATTTCATGGTCAGTTGGGCAGAGGAACAAGACAAATACACAGTAGTGATTAATATCAACAAAGATGACGCTAAATTTCTTTTTTCAACTAAAACTGGTATGACAAACTCTGGGAAATTGTTCCATTTTGTCACAACAAAATGGTCATATCAATACTTAGTCTCAGTATTACATAACGAGCACATTCATTATTACAGAGAGTAGCAAAAGCCTGAATTTTGTGTACTGATATCATATCAATTACATTGATTTGAAATCTATAAATAATCTTGATGCAAAACCTAGTTGTTGTATGTTAGAATCCTTCCCCCAGATGACTACAACCTTGAAAACACAATGACTGTCCTTCTTTAAAAATGAAATTTGATACAGCAAGAACTATAATATCAGATTTGTAAGAACCTTACTAATAGCTCTGATGGTTAGCTCACAAAGGCCTATGGTGACGCATGCTCCTGACTTTTGCGTTATGATTAGGTGTAGATTAGGTTTGGGGTTAGGGTTAGGGTGAGGACTAGGGGTCGAGTTAGACAAGTTGATAGTGTTAGAAATCGCTGGAGCACATATCATACACTAAAATATCTCTTATACAAATAATGACAAAGTTTCAAGGGACCAACATTTGAAGGATTGGTAATGTATTACATGTATTTACAACAATTACTCAAAAAATTTGGCTTTATGGCTTTTTGATCCACTTGCAAACAAATCTTTGTCTAAACTTCTAACATTTCATCCAATGAAGTCATTGAAAGGCTTTTGTTTGGTGCATTGTACCAAAGACAGATGTTGCACGCACAAAAAAATTTAATAGCTTGAAAAAACCTTTTTCTTCAAATTTGCCAATGTCATTACTATTGTTGGCCTTCAATTGAACCACTATCACAATATTATTTATAAATACATTCCTTTTTAAATTGATTCTAATTTTGCCATTTCACCCGTCAGTCAAGTGTACTCGTATTCTCAGAGCCAAGCCTAAGTACCATATCATTAATATCATTTACACTTTGTACTTCAAAATCTAAAGTAAGGTTTCTGATGAAAGAGTGTGCTGCCAGAGCAAACTTTGTATCTCATAGTGAAGAGGTCTACTTCAATACTGTCCATTCGAAGCATAGGTAGATATTTGTTGGTAAACTTATCTAAACTTCATTAATCTCATTTAACGGGATATCGTATCAATCTGAGATCTCCAGAAGTGATTGATCCTTTAAGAAGAAGGAAAAAGACCGACAGAGGTATGGACATGAACACTGTCACTGTTAATATTCCATAAAATGTTGTAGTTTTATAATTGTGTTGCTGTCCAAAAACATGACTGATTGTATACAGCAGGCCATGCAATTGGTAATTTTAAATCTCGAACATGTCCGGAAAATACACTGGAAATACTGCTGTCATAGGTGTTATTGTATCTCACGTTTTTGGTCTCACAGCAATATTATTTACTGCAGAATCCTAGCAGCTTACATATACCATGTCCACTGTCAGTTCAAACTAGAAGGCTACCATAGCTACACATGGCCCCAACCCATGATGAATTTCCATGAAAATGTATTTTCTATGACTTTTTGTGGGAAACTTGGTGGTTTTTTAAGCATACCACACTTCACATTTTGTATCTTATAATGCACAGATAAGTGAGTACACATAGGGACATTGTACCAAGCAGCTACAATTTTCATCCTCATTTGCCTTTCATTTAGTACATGCTTATCATCAAAAAACTATTTTCAAAATCCTATTGTTTTTGAATGGCATGTGTGAACAAGCCTTAAAGGTACCTTTTGATCCTGAGTAGGTCAGGACAAAAAGTTAAGTCTTTTTAGAGGGTAAGAAAATACCAACACACCTGTGATCCTTGCATCCAAACAAATGTGTTGCTTAAAGGCAGGCTTTACTACTTCAGCTAGAAGGGATTAGACCACCCAGCGAGCCAGCGAGTTCACTGTGACAGGTGGCTACCTCATTAACTCAGCTCTCATTTAACATAAGAACTAGATGGAATTCGACTGCGCGCAGTCGAAAATGATGCCTCCGTCATAGAGCAAGTTTACAAACCAAAACAGAAGAAATTTTTCAAATTCAAGTTCAATTGTAATCCATTAACAACAGGTTCTCAGAATATCGTGATTACAAGCAATTTCTCCTATACATATATGACCCTTTGATCTTTGACCTCATGATCCTTATATCTACTCAGTTCATTGGCTCTGCAAGATATCCTGAGTTAAATAGTAATCCATCTGTCAGTTCTATAATGAGAATGCGTTCACAAGCTATTTTTGCATACATAATGAGCCCATGACCTTGGACCTTATGAACCAAGAATCTACTCAGTTCATTGGCTCTGCAAGATACATAAATGATCTAAGTTTGGCAGGAATCCATCAATCTGTTCTAATGATAATACGATCATAAGCTATTTTTGCATACATAATGTGCGCTGCGACCTTTGACCTTGACCTCATGATCCCAAAATCAAATCAGCTCATCAGCTCTGCAAGTAACATACATGACCTAAGTTTGGCAGGAATCCATCAATCGGTTCTTGAGATAACGCGATCACGAACTGTTTTTGCATACATAATGAGCCCTGTGACCTTTGACCTCGTGACCCCAAAATCTAATCAGTTCATTGGCTCTGCAAGATACATACATGACCAAAGTTTGGCTGGAATCCATCAATCGGTTCTTCAGATAACGCGATCACAGGCTGTTTTTGCATACATAATGAGCCCTGTGACCTTTGACCTTTGATCTCGTGACCCCAAAATCTAATCAGTTCATCGACTCTGCAAGATACATACATGACCAAAGTTTGGCAGGAATCCATCGATCGGTTCTTTAGATAACGCGATCACGAGCTGTTTTTGCATACATAATGAGCCCTGTGACCTTTGACCTTTGACCTCGTGACCCCAAAATCTAATCAGTTCATCGACTCTGCAAGATACATACATGACCAAAGTTTGGCAGGAATCCATCGATCGGTTCTTCAGATAACGTGATCACGAGAACGGGACGTACGTACAGACGTACGTACAGACGTACGGACGGACGGACGGACGGACGGACAACCCGAAAACATAATGCCTCCGGCTACTTCGTAACGGAGGCATAAAAAGAGGATCATGGGGGACCAACAGGCACCGATTGGGGAAGTTTTCTATATAGAGGGAGCAAGTAGCTACAAGTAGGACAGTGTGCCTTTAATTGAACAAGTCATTAAAAAAATGGTCGTTATTATAGCCTCTTCTGGCTGCTCTGCTGAATCAATCAAACCATTGTGTTGATAGAGAATATCCAATTGAAGGAAGAGAACATCTTGCTGGTAGCTAGTAGTAGAAGTAGTAGTAGGAGTGGCCTCGGGCAGTTTCAGAGGTCATCTAGGTTTCAGAGGTCATCTAGATGTCAAGGGCTCTGGAATGCTGTACGAGGCTGCTTAATTAGACATGGTAATCATCTTAATCAATTGAGCCTGATCGAAGATGGTTTTCTTAATGTTCAAAATTAAATTCTATAATCATGCATGGAGGGAAATTATCAAGCTATTTACAGAAACTCCTTTGCAGAACTTCTCTCCTTCTGGGACGCTCAGATTTGTTGATGACCATGAGTAGACAATCTGAGCATTGGAATTTAAAGGAATAAAATACAGATTACTGACTTTATATTCAAGTAAATTTATCATCCAAATATATACACATACACTACGGGCAAGTATTAGATACGTGTACTGATAACTTAAATAACATACACTGAAGCTTCGGACATTTCCAAACACTCATGTCTACTAAAGATGCAACATATTGAAGATGCTTGATATAGTTTGTACTAATAATATTTCATGGTGATCAATCAAAAAACTAATTGACAACTCTGTGTTTTCTCTTGCAAGCTGATTTGCACAAACACTATGTACTAAAAAAAATTCTCCAAGAAAGATTTTAGTACACCTGTGCCCTAGATACTGATACATATTTAAAGGGGAATCCAACCCAAATAGACAACTACTCTAAAAGAAAGCAGAAAAATAAGAGAACAAACTGATGATCAAGAAAGTTATGAATTTTTGAAAGTTGTAATCACTATAAATACGAGCACTTCAAATTGGCTGAAGCGGTAATGTCAATGTGATGAAGTGCAGGACTACTTTCCCATCTGTTCCAACATAAAACATGACTACAATTTTGTTTTTGATTAATTGCTCAGGAGGGTCTATTCTTTTTAGAGGCCTTATAATAATATGCTATCTATAATATATTTTGAGTACTGCCTCAAGGGAGAAGAAAGTTACAAGAAAAACAGAAATTAATGATACTTTTGTAGACGGCTAATGGGAGAGTTATCCAAGTCCTATGTCACAATCCACTGACCAAACTACCAACTTGAGATTCGCATAGATTAGACTTAGTGATTTAATATTTCAAACATTCATAACTTCCTTACTGTTGGTCCGATTCATTTCAAACTTTTGCCATTCTGTTTCTGTTATTTTTCTGCTTTCATACAAATCAACTTATTGCAAGGGCTGAATTATCGTTTAAGAACTCAGATTTAGATTTTAGGCTTATATTCATCAAGAAAGAAAAGAAATATCTGTTATAATTCTGTGTACAAACAAAAGGGTAGTTTTTTTGCAAGGGAAATCTAAAAGTTGCTAGTTTTTGTGTGAATAATAATGACTTAAATTTTATCCTTCCATTAGATATTGCTTTAACTTTCTCTGATCCAACTTCTGATTTGCGGAAGGACTTCCCCTTTAACATAATACTGCCATTTTTCTAAATATCTATATCTACATGAAAAAACATACATGAGGTTGGAAAGGTTCAATCTTCCTGTTTCACTTAAAACATAATAGGCTGGCTGTGCAATTGTCATCAATTATAAATCCATTTTATCTTTTATGCTAGTGAGAGTATGTTCATTGTCACAACATATTGAAATTAGAACAATCCATTGGTAAAAATTTAGCAAAGCTGCCTCAACCTGTGAATGCCAATATTCAAGGGAGATATCTGTGTAATAACTAATCACCAATGCTAAATGTCTACCGTATACTGGCAACTTCGATATGTTATGACAAATAACACATAATTTCCACCATAATCATGAAATATGACAGTTCTTAAAATATGGCTTCAGCTTTCCAAAATCCATATATGAAAACCAGGATATTAGAATTTAAAACTCACAATAAAACCCTATGGTATAACCTTGAAATTGGATTAACTTAGGTAAACAATAGATCTGTGTATCGATGCATTATATTTGCATATACCAGCAATTTTTAATGCGTCTTGAATTCATTATGGAGTAATCTGGAACCAGAAACACTTCAAAAATTTGAGATCACCATTTCAAATCAAAGAGAAAGACAAGTTTTCTTACCAGAAACTTGTAAAAAAAATTACAAGCATTTCTAATTTCAATTATTATTCTCACCTGCATAGAAGAATTTACTTTACAATCGTTTTCTGTTAGATGTACTTGGTGCGATTGAGAGCCTTGTCTGCATAATTGTCGTCAGTGATCTTGGCCCAGTCAGTGGCCGTCTGCCCAACGACAAAACCTACTGCACGCATACGTTCTTGGTTTTGGCGTTCCTCGATGTCGGCCCAGCGTACCTGGTGTTAGAAAAGAAAGAGGCAGGGAAGAGAAAAGATTAGGATCTGTTCTTCTTTTAAATTATTTCTCAGTCTCTAGTGTCACTTTTCTATGACATTTTTTCAAACTGTTACCTACTTGTGATCTTGATATGAGAACATGTCCAATGAAGAAATATGAATAATTGATGAACAGAGTCAAATGAAGCTGAAGACTATTGTTTCATCAAATTCATAATGCTTTGCAATTACATGTATATTTGATGAGGTATCAATTCATGTCTAAGATAAACTTATGATGTATTCATCAAAGATACCATGAATATTCCTCCCCCCCCCCCCCCAGCATCTGTACCCACACATTTTATGATAGTTCAATTTCCCAAAGCCTGTCTACTTAATTACTTTAATGCAATGAGTGAGCTACTATTTAAGATTAAATTATCATTTCCATACTCATTTTGGAAAAGCCAACAAGTTGACTAGAATTTATCTACAAGAATGAAACCATTATCCATCTAAAAATTGATCATCTTTGTATGTTTCTAAAACAAGGGGCACTAAAACACATGGCCAGTGAGATGCATACAAATATTCCCAACTGTTAATTCAATTGATAGCGTCCACAAATTCATGCACAATGAGTTAAATGCAAATCAAATAAGACAGAGATCGGCACAAGATCGAACTTCGTGCCAATTGCTACCTAAAGATGGCTCTGTGAAAAACTTTCAAATAGGGTTGATTTGTTTTTACTAATAATTGTGTATTCATATCTAAAATCATGATTTTTAACCATATCTTCAAAAGAAATGATTATATGATTTCTTCTTCATAAAAACATGATTTCTAAATCAAGAATTTTTATCACAGTTGTTTTGCCGATTTTGTTATCAAAGCCTGCACTCATTACATTGTGTCAAATATCCTGTGCAATAATGTTGGATAGAATAAGAGAAACTATCCAACCCTAGCTTGTTACATACTTAAACCTCATAGTTAACACTTTGAATATGGTAGGTGTTTGACCATGGATAAACAATAATTAGGCACTTTTCTTTAATAGAACATTTCACATATGTATTCAAATTTATTTATACCTCTTCCACAATGTCTGTCCTTCGTAATCACTTGCCTTAAGCTATATATTTGTTTATTTGTCTAAAGCTGATCTAACAAAGCATCAATTAATCAAGGCAACAAAAGTTTTTAAATGCAATACCTTGAATGCAATTTCAATGCAAAAGCATCAGGCACTGGGGTAAAGGCATTTATAAATTCAATTACATTTGCGAGCCAATCAATTGCTAGGCTGAAACAACATATAATACACAACTGAAGCATCTAGGCACATTATAAGGTCATTTCATAAGGTCTCATGAACATCTTGTCATTGGAAAAGCTAGGCCATAACATTTACCCAATTTCCGACAAAAAAAGGTTCTGAGACGAGATGTTATGATGCACAAGTGCCTAGTTATCCTTCAGATATTTAAACCATGAATAAATTAAAATTAAAAAAAAAGAAAGCTAAAACAGCCATTTTATTGTAGCCCAAGCATAACCACTCACCAAGTTTTTTAAACCTTTGTGAACTTAATAGACTACACATTTAAATAACCAAACATACTATCATTAATAATTTCTTAGAATTTAGTTAACTTTTACCATCACATTGTTGATTCTACTATCCTCCATTTGGCGAGATGATGACTCCATACACACGTCTGCATTCTTGTCATACTTTCGAAATAGGCGCTTTTAGCCGTGGCGGTCATTTTGCATATTTGCCTAACATCGCTACGTGCAATTCTAATGTGAAACTCTGATCTAATCAGAGGCTCTATCCTTTTCAGACATGCACTGAGTAAATCAAACGTGAATGATGGCTTCTTTATCAAAAAAGCCCCGGGGCCCGTCTTATAAAGAGTTGAAATCGATCGTAACTTATTTGCGATTGATATCAATCGTATTTATGTACAGATAGGAGACTGCAACTTGCGCTCGATTGGAGGACTTACATGTACGGTTGATTTGGATCAATCGTAACTCTTTTTAAGACGGGGCTCGGGTATACTCCTCATACTAACTTCATTGTAATTTCTGTTTCTTTGTTCAACCAAAACCAGGTGTCTCTATAAACAAATGACATATCTGGTATTTGCACTTAAGCATTAAAGACACAATTCATTCACAATATATTCAGATTTATGTCTATGTTCGTTTTGTATAAAAATGAATATATCTAAACATTACGTACCTCCCTGATAAAACTCACATTTTCAATGCCTACCCCTCTTTATTAATATCTACTACTCTTTGATCCCTTATGTGAAATAAACTTTTTTTTTAAGAGCAGGATACTTAAAACCAATAAAGGGTACCTAAGGTTGACATTCATGGAGAACCATCTATTGTGGAGCTCCATGAAATGACCTATAGGTGTATATATGTGCTCATGTCACAACTATCTCTCTCAGAAGGCTATGATGTAGGCTAACCTTACCTGTGATTTTACTAGGAAAATCGATGACCCACATAATATATGCAAACATGGTTGAGATATATGAGAAAGATAATACCTTAGCCCAATACTCATCCTAGAAGATGGCAGTGCATGTCCTATTTCTCTGTGCAGTTGATCTTGCTACGATCAACCTTAATCTGTTCAGATTACATGTTTATTACACAGCATGCAATCAGTACTGCTACAAATAAGGCGTTTACGTAACAGAAAATTTGTCGCGTTTAAACAAACAGAAAAGAGCAGTATAAGTAATAATAATAATAATAATAATAATAATAAAATAACACTATTGGTATGATGATGATTCAAGCATGGACTTACTCTCTTCTGTCCTGGGAGTATGGGTTTGGAGACTGTGTCAAACTCATCTCCACATGATAGGAAGTCCTCCATAGACGTGTAGCTCTCCTTCTTCTTATACTTCTTGATACCATCAAGGGCATCTGTGTAGAGAGACAATCAATGACATGGAGAATGAGAGAGAGTCATGGGGAGGGCGACATGGAATTCATGCAATGCATTTTTAAGAGAAGAGGGAAGGATAAATGGAGAGGGGGAGGGGAGGGGAGGGGAAAGGGGAGGGTGAGGAAAGGGGGGAGGGGAGGGGAAGGGTGGAGGGAGTGGTAGGAAGGGGTAGAGATGGAGGGAATATGGCGGAAGAGATGAGGAGAGGGATGGAGTGAGAGAGAGAGAGAGAGAGAGAGAGCAAGAGAAAGGGAGTGAGAAAGGGGATACAGAAAAAGAACAAGAAAAGCAGGGAAATCGGACAAAGGGAGAAAGAAAATGGGGGATAAGAAGAAAGGGAGCAAGAGATAAAGAAAGAGAGAGGTAAGCCAGAGTTTATAATAGAGATACAAGAGTCCACATACATCCACTTATTATGAAAATAACTAGAAGTTTCTGAAAAGCAAAAAGGGTTCAACTGCTTTTCAATTTTTTTTTTTTAAACTCAACATCTTTTCTCTCAAAGTAGTACATCCAAGATTAATTTCATCATACACAACACATTGCATTCTAAAATGTCTCCTCTTTCTCATTCTAAATTTAAGAGTAGTATTACATATTACATGTCAAGTCCAGGCAATAGCAACCAAAAATGTAGTAGGGTAGTAAGGGTAGTATCGAATATACATTATTAAAGTATATTTCACTTAAAAACAATTACTGATCACTTTGAAATTGATCCATCACTAAATTTAGACTTGAAGCTGGGACCATAGTCCCATAAACACTGCATTTCTCTTTCTCCCTGTCTCGCTTCTCACATTTTAGATGATTATTGGAATACAAAACAAACAGCAATGACCTTGTCAAAATTACACCTTGGTAAAGTGTCAAACAAGGCATTTGATCTCCGTCCCACAGGGCTGCACATACTTCCCTTAGGCTATTGCACTAGGTATCAGAATTCCACAGTGCAACAAAATACTCCATTCTCTAAAACATTCCTTGCATCAATATCTCTATCACACTGATAAGAATCACAGACTTTACACTACAAAATTTGATGAATACATTCTGCAGTTGCCACACAAGGTGTTTATATGTATATTTTTTTTAAGTGGACAAATTCTGCATTATTGGTGCTACAAATAAGGCAAAAAAGTGAGTCTGAGATACCTTAGGTCTACAGAAAAAGTGTATTTCCCAAAATCCAAATAGTATGGATCTTGTACATCAGGGGAGTGTTTCACAAAGACTAAGATCAACTTTAAGTACTATGGCAGGCCGTTCATGCCACTGTGTGCTCTCACCATTATGATCTTTAAATAATATTTTTTCCTTTAATAATGAATTATAAAAAATGTAAATTCTGCAGATAGGTGACCATGATTTGAACGTCCCTTGAGAAACTAATGCCAGTAAATGGTGAAAGCAAACAGTGGCATGAACGGCCTGCCATAATTAAGTCCAACTTAAAGTTGATCTTAGTCTTTGTGAAACAACCCCCTGAAGCATCAAAGTTGGACAAATATTATCAAGAATCAAGTCTCTCTTTCTCTCTCTCTCTCTCTCTGTTTTCTAACATAAATAGCATTACCCATTTTATACCACATAAGTTACATTATTGTGTTATAGTTAATATTAAAACAGTGATAAATTTACTTATAGGACACAAGTAAAATATAAAAAAAGTACATGATTATCAAAAATAACTTTGACTCACCTAGTTTCTCTTCGGTAGCAGAATCCCACTTACTCTTCGTCAAAGCCAGTGTCTGAAAAAGAGAGGAAGAGCAGTAGTGTATTAAAATAAAATCTATTTTTCTTTCACCAAAGTAGTTCTCATTGCTGCATTAAGAAGATTTTACCATCACAAAAAGTTAAAGCATTGTAGAAACAATGCAATGGAAAAAAAAATAGATTTTCACTGAAATTTGTCATGATTGCCATGAGTCATAATATTGCAGAAATGAAATTTGATAACATCTAGATGGAATTCCACTAAATTTCACCTCTTCATCATAACTGCCAAATCGAGTTTCACTAAATATCTAAATAACAGTGATATTTTGAGAGTAACACATACATTCCATAATCCAAGATTACATGTCTTACAAACAAAATTTTAGAAACTAATTCTGGCATCCAAAGACACATAGCTTATCATTTCACAGTACTTAGATTTTTCCACGTACAAGTTATTACTTGCGACATCAATCAATAAATGCACATATATTGATTATTTCATTGGTCTACCTAAAACTTGATAACATATATTGGAAATAACATAATTGGTCCGGACCACGATAATGGAGGGTGATTGGAAACTTTTGCAACCACCCCTATAAAGCTATTAAATTTAAATCAAAGGTAAAATTTCCCATTTCCAAGCTTCATGAGGTATACAATTGATTAAATGGTTATAAACATAGGTAAGGATACCAAGAAAATCAAACTCTAAAGCAATAGTCTAAAAATTCAAAACTTTATATTTTACTGCTAGTCTATTTCTTTTACACAATGAGAGAATTAAAAAGAGTCCTCCCCTTTTGGTATTTCAGTAGATATATGATTATATGCACAATTCAACCTCCCCCCCCCAAAAAAAAATAAATAAATAAATAAATAAATAAATAAAAAATAAAAAAAATAAGTAAAACTATACCTTTACAGATGAATAGGATTCAAACAAACATACCAACAACAAAATAAAAATAAAAAAGTTCATTAGTATGATTAATAAAAAATAAAGATACATAACACTCTCTGTTACCTTTCGTGGTACTATTCACGTTCAAAACTGCATCATAGAGTCCCCTTGGTTTAGATCATAACCACGTAAAGCGCTACGTCAATAAAGTCGTTTGATTTTGTCTTTCCTTATTCTTAATTTTTTGTCACAATTGGCTTGCAATAGTTGGTGTTTCGTATTAACACCAGTTATAGTTACGCAGCATGCCTTTTCGCAACATCTAGCGTTACATTGGATCCAATAGATTTCCCACTTGAACCTACATGTACCCCTAAATCTTCTGGTACATGTTGTTGGCTGCCTTTAATGAAACTGTTACTTCTAGAAGTGAACAATACATTTGGGGAACTTTGTAGTTTGTGATCATTAATCTGTAAAAGCCATAATACACACTTGTATTTCCCTAATTAGATCTATTGACAAGAAAAATAAAACAAATCTATTAGGGGGCTCGTTAGCAAAGAAAAGAATCAAGCTTTGTAGCCTTATCATAATCTGTACGAGGTATACACTATGGAGGTAGGATAACACACCTACATATATTAGATATGGGAGAATATGATGGACAAAATTAATGAAATGTTTACATTATTGGTGGCCATATGGTTTTAAGTCACTTTGGTATTAACTTACAAAATGTGAAGAAACATTTTAGATTACCTATGAAGAAAATAGGACTATGCCTACATATGCACAGAATCCACATAAAATATACAATCAATGCAAGATACATAGGCCAAACATGGTCAATTTTCAGCTTTTATCTATAAATAGAACAAGATGGATACCCATTTGCTAATTTTAAAATTATATTATTATTATTATTATTATTATTATATTATATAAAATTATACTGCTAAGTTCAAGCAAGGGTCCTGGTAATAAATAGGGTTACATAGGTACTCATACAACCTCTAATATCATTTACAGAAACTGGTAGTGTGTATAATGGTAGAAAAGTGCACAAGCACGCAAGTCTGGCAGAATGTAGTTCTAATGTGCAGTCTAAACTGGCTTGAGTCAATATCATTAACATCACATGCTATACATAACAGAAATCTCCTTCATTACTTGATCATGAAATGTAAGTGTATATATTTTTCTTGTGAGGAGCTATTGGTACATGTTGTTCTATCATCACAGTATTTCAGTTTGTTGCCATTTGGTAAAATACCAGCCCTTCTAGTATCCAGTTTGTCTTTTACTTTGTCACATGGTATAATCATCGTGTTGTCCAATTTCAATGAAGTCTAATTTTTTTATTATTTTTTTTTGGGGGGGGGGGGAGGGGGGAAATTAGTGGATCATAACTAACTTCGATATTAGATGAACTGGCAAGCAGACAAAAGTGAAAATAAAAAAACTGATCATTACACCATAGAGATGAAAATGTGACTTGAAAAATTAAGGATTGAAAAAGGTGGCATTGAACCAAATGGCAATTTACAGGAGACTCAGTAAAGTACTGTTACTTTACAAACACGAAAAATTATCACATGGTTTACTATTTAGTGCTGTATACACTCCTTAAAAAGTTCAACCTGTTCCACACTAAGACATTAGCGTTTGATAATAGTTCTTGAGAATACTTCAAAGTTAAAAATGTAACATAACCATGAATTACACATACTAAAATAAGCAAAATAAAAAGCATGTCATCTACCTAGATAAAATTCAATAATATCATATTGTTTTTCCCTGTATTAAAGAATCTCAGGAGGAGCTCTTTCAAACATTATATTTTTGTCCAAGGTGTCCTACCAGCTAAACTATTGGCTGGATGTCTAAACACACAACATTTTTAATGTATTTGCTAAAATCACATTTCAGCCAAAGAAACAAAGCTGCTCATCAAGAAATAATTTTGAAACAAATTAAAACTAGCTAGTTTGAGCTTGTTCATTTCAATTATAGGTAGTTGTTTTTCTAATCGGGTCATTAGTCAATAATCAAATTTAGCTAGATCTAGGTCAAGAACATGACTAACGGTATCATATATTGATTTAAAGAAGTTGAATCTTAACAAGGATACCTTGCTGATAATTTCAAGGTTCCTGTAAAATTGGGGAAATCTATATCAAAATTAAACACTCTCAGCTTTCTCCTAAGGACTGCAGGCACTCTGAGGCCAGTCTGAGGTTTAAAGCTATTTCTAATGCTAAAATTAGTTCAATGGCATTGCACACAACTACACATGAATGTGAAGTAAGTTCTTATATGGAATCATTGATACCTGGGGGGTGTTTCACAAAGATCTTAAGTCGAACTTAATTAACTCTAAGTTGGACTTAAAAACTATGGAGAGCCATTTGTAACTTTAAAATAAAATATAAATTTATAGGTGAAAATTGAAGTATTTTAGACTTTTTATATATTTCTTTGATAATAATAATAATTTGAAGTAACTTTTACAAAATATTTTCATAGATGCTAATGGCTTTCCATAATTTTTAAGTCCAACTTAGAGATAAGTTTAACTTAGGATCTTTGTGAAACACCCCTCAGGCTTGTTTTCCTCTACTCCGGTATCCTGTTCAATAAAACAAGCAATCAATTACATGTAATCAAATGCATGTCTCCAGTTGTCTGGCCTGGCCTCTAGACGGGATGTACAAAATATGGATCGAATTTCATTGAAGTATCTGGTAAGCTAAAATAACGATTTTGATTGAGGACTGTCAGGAAGTTTTAACTGAATTTCTAGGAAGCTGCCATCAGTCATGAGTTCTACTGAACAAGATGCTGATGTGCATGCATACAAACCTGATGGTGCTGTGCGTGTGTCCGCCGGAAGCATGGTCAATGCAGTAGACATACGACCAGCAACTATACACAAAACCAATACATGTCGGACTATCCTGCCGAAGTCTGTAGAATTCTCGTTTTGATATCAAGATTCACGGCTTGCTCACTAAAATGCATTATTCAAGTGTCGAGCGTCCTGGGAAATTATAATCAAGACTATACAGTCTAGAACAGTACCAATATCCTAACAAATGTTAAAGTATGAAAATAAATTCAGTGCCCCAATTTGAACACTGATGGTAATCATGCCTTTTAGTTGAGGTTCTTTCTCCAAATTAAATTATATCTAATATATATCTACAGTTTAGAGGAATACAAGTAATTAGGTTCTACCCACGCATGCCAAGCACACCAACGAATCTGTCTAAATTTTAAAAACTTTCAGTTGGTCATTGAAAAGGTGATACTTGGACAAGTAAAGAAAAATGTGTAAATGTAGTGAATGTGGCATACACAAGTCAACAATAGGCAGGATAACTAAAATGAAGATAAAACAAAAATTCATATACTACACAGAAAGATGACACATCATCAATTACAATTCTCAAGCAATAACACTGAAGAAACAACAGGACATTAAGCATGCAATATGGTGGTCTTTTGTTTTTTTCCTGCTGGAATGTTGTATCTTGGTCTTACCTCTTCCTGATCCTCTAGTTCTTCCAAGGCTTCCTGCTGTTGGTTCATCAGTTCCTCCATGGAAGGTCCGGCGTCTTCATCAAGTTCCTCCATCTCAACCTGCAATCAAGAACATCATTAAAGGTAAAGACTAGTTTTGGAAACGCACCCCTCTCAAAAAATGAAATGGAAGCTTTTATTACCGGTACCAATCATGTGAAAGAATATGTTTTGACTAATACGTAATGATACAAATTTTGCCGAGAAACCGCCTACTAATTGATATATTTGGTAAGATATTATATCTATCTGGACCTGATAAATATAACGCAGTACACACCAATACTTATATGCTAGATGATCAACCTTTCCTGATCGATTCCACAACGTTTCTTTCACAATGCAATCACATGACCATAACTGGTCTTTTTCTTTAACGCATTGTCACAATAATCTTCTTCCTTATTTTCATGATCCTCTCCAGTCATCATTATGGCTATAATCAAAATGATAAACCTCCTCCTAGTCCTCTTCATATTCAGCCAAAATTCACAACCATAAATGGTAACACCATAAGGCATCAGCATTATGATCATCATCATCACCATCCTCATCCTAATCCCTATCCTTACCACCAGTATCACCATCACCACCTCCAACAAGGTGATTATCACCATCACCACCACTATGATCATGGTCGTGGTCTTCATCGTCATCGTCATCATCATCATCATCATCGTCATCATTATCAATGATTAGTAAACAGGGATGTGAACACAATGTGCTGATGACGGTAGCCATAAAGCTTCTTTATATGACGTGAAATAACTGGTATTTTCAACCAACCCTTAATCAAAATTCATACTTTGTGAACATACTTCCAGCCCCCATCTGACTAATCAATATGGATAATAATAATAACAATAATGATAATTAGATCAATTTATATAGCACAGCTTCTATATCATTATACTCTGTGCTGTTATGAAAACAAAACTTCTACCAGTACTCCTTTACAAACACACAATAAAATTATTTAAAGACTATTCAAAAGCTCCTGAAAACAAGTGCGTCTTCAACTTAACTTTGAAGACAGCAACAAATGAGGCTTTCCTTATGTCTAGTGATGACTTATTCCAAAGCTTTGGAGCAGCACAACTGAAAATATAATATATAGCATCTTACCTCTGGAATGGCAGCATCTTGCAGGAGGGCCACCACATCTAGCTTGATGTATTTCCGTGGGGCAAACTCCCAGTGTTCTATGATCTATAATGAGAAAACCATCCTGTAAATATCTTACAATCACCATTGTCCTGACTAATTGGATAGGTTCAAAGGTAGAGTAACACTAAGTACTTCTTAGAACCCATCATTAATATGGATATAGAGTCTGATCCTGTTCGACTTTTTGACACAGACATTTTCAGAAAAGCTATTAATTTGAAACCTACCATGTACTGGCAGGTCACAGGAGTTATGAAGGAAAGCGTGGAAGCAAAGGAAAATGTGGACAGTGGCCATTGGTGTACACTATTTAACACATCTCAATTTCTATAACCTGTGCCATCAGCTTTTCACCGATGCATCAAAAATCAAACTTAAAAGGAAACTTTTGCAATCATAGGATAATTTCCTTTGTTCATCCTGATATGAATTTAGCAGGCAGTAATATTCTATGATATGTCATTTTGGATTTTGAGACCCCTTTTTTTCTATTTGAAGTAGATTGGCAAGTGTTCCTGTGTACAAAAATATTACATCCCCCCCCCCCCCCCCCATTAATTTTGGGGCAGTAGAAACATTGTACAACACTAAAAAAATGAATACTCTATAGTAGTGAAGGAGTCACAAAATCCTTAGAAGATTAAATTGTGAGTATCTTGCTATATATCGACTACAATAACAAGAAAAAGTTCTGATATTTTCTTGTGTTTTAAAGGGGGAATGGGGGGGGGGGGAGGGGGTGGAAAACAGATTGGTACATAGAAGTGGATGAAAATGAAACCTACCTTTCTGATTCCTGTTTCACCTCTATTGTGGATGTCTCGCTGAATGCACAAGCCTAATTCAACAAGTAACTCAGCTACATACACCTGCACACACAAATGCCAAGAAAAAAGAAAAAAACAAGAATATATTTGATACTAATTGCAAATATAACTTCTTAAAAACAGCTTTTAAAAAGCATCAATGAAAGTAGAATATGTGTAAGGTTTAGCAAAACATTTTCTTTAATGTGTGAGCTTTAGCTCCCCCAAATTTTTATTTCATAACATTAATGGGCAGTCTCTTATTTACATTCATTCCAACTAGAAATAAACATGCCTTTCTAATTTAATTTTTGATTTTTTTTTAAAATGGTACATGAGGATTTAAAACAGATATTAATTGTTATCATGTCTGCACTTGGGAGAAAACCCTGATGAACTCTCCCACAGATCTTGCTATGGTAACAGATTGAAAACAAGTATGATGACATCATCATTACTGCATTGTGGGGGCAGCTCCAGGCCAACATGTTGTACGCGATCGATAGTGGGCCTGGTCAGTGTAAGGCCCCATACAGTAAACCATCAACGTGAGCTGGACAATATCCATTGGCTGCCAGGCCAAGAGCTTAATCATTAAAGCTATTGCTCATCCAAGTCACCAAGTTACACTCTTACAATGCATGTTAATAATAATAATAATAATTACAGTGCTTATATAGCGCCTAACACTTACTTTGTCAGAAGTCTCTAAGCGCTCTACAATAATGCAGCATAATTACCCATGTTCACATGTGCATTACCAGTTCATTTTCGCATGTTCTTGAATCCGGACAATAATTCGCAAAATTAAACCCTCATGAAAATAATGGTTTATACAGTAGCAATAACAATGACAATAGGTACAAGCTCACTTTTAACAATTATGTAAGAAGACACAAGTCAAAATACCTCAAATCCTTTCATCTTTGCATAGCTCCAGAACGGTTCAATCTTTGAGATTTTGTCGTTGACGGCATCCACGATGATGAAGTCAAAGAAACCGTCTTCGATGGTCTTCTTGAATGTCTTGAGTAAACTGACATGGTAAATAGCCTCCATGCTGTCCTCATGTTCGTATTCCTGAAACTAATTTGTTCAAGTGAAAAGACTTTCGTGAGCAATTGCACCAATAAATCACTATTTTTTGTTTTATATTACAAGGCACTTGGTTACTAACATTACATTGGCATAAAGTGACAGTTAAAAAATAATTGCAAAGGGATGCAAGGAGTATCATATTGCAGTGAAATAAACAAAATATTCAATTTGAATCAATTTAATACATAAATGGAACAAATCTTAACCTACTGCATGGCAAAACATGTTAGCTAGTTATCTCCTTTGAGTCTCGGACCAAGAATAGAATGAGCAAAATGATGGGAAGAAAAACCCTAAATGCCTAAAGCGGTATATATTAAAGTTCAGATGGAGCAGTGTTAATTGACATGGGCTCCCTTTTCATGAACTGAAGAATAGATATAGATTAAGAATAACAGTACCCATCAATTGCAATACCAGTCTTTGTTTACACTGAGTAAAGTACAGTCACATCAAATGAAATGGTGGGTGAAGTGACAGTTACTAACTCCACAATGCCAATGTCAGAAAAATATTGGACTTACCCTCTTCTTGACAATCTTGCCAGTTTCAGCGTCCTTTTCCGTCTTCTCCTTCTCACTCATAAAGTAGTCATCCAGACACAGCATGCGAGGACTAGGACCTCGGTTTTGTATTTCTCTGTCCTGCAGGGTCAAAAGATGACAGTTATTAGGCTTCAAAAGTTAGAGGAAAGTTCTTAAGCATAGTAAAGCTAGCAATGTTCTAGAAATAAATTAATAATCTGATGCAAATTAAGATTGTCTCACCGCTTTTAAAAAATTCTTTCCTCTGTGCAAAGATTTGAAAGTCTCAAGAGACAATTTAAAGCAAAACATTGTCATAGTTCGTATCCTGAGAATGACAGATAATTTACTTTACGTCATCACAGACAGATATATTAATTGGACGTTATTACTGACATGAGACAAGAGACAATGACAGAAATTAAAACAAAAGTTACTATTTGCAGATCTTAGAACCAAGTCATATATCTACAAAAAGAGATATTCTCGAAAGGCATACATTCCCAAGGTTAAGAGAGCTTTCATGTCAATGTCAAGTAAACCATTTATCCTACATCACATCTCTCCCTTCTCCCATGTTCTTCAATGGTTCTAAGTTGGCCACTTCCATCTGAAGCAAAGACCACTTGCCTTGATAAGCTTTGCAATGTAACTCTTGCCGCTTCCAGGAGGGCCACGCAGGATCATACAGATCTTGGCTGGGCGTTTCTCCCTGTTGGGCGGGTCTAGGAGGTCCGTGACTGCCACCACTTCCCTCTTCTTGGGCTTGGAAGGGGGAGGAGGGGTTTGCTGGGGTGAGTTGGTGAACATGTCCTTCTGTCCAGGGGAGTCCCTGTAGTCCTCCACTAGCCTGGCAGGGCCACTCTGGTATCTGTACAAAAAGGAGATCAATGAGCAGGCCAGAGAATGGGTGATTGGTTGGTTGATTAGTGCTTGCTCTTACTTTGTTACCAAACCAAACACTTGCTTGTAGATGATTCACTGTAGGGCACTAAACAGTCCTATTGAAAGGGCTTGGTTATCCATGATTCGATTCTACTCAAATACAGACAAAATTATTTTCCAGCAAAATAGGCCAGTTTCGGCGGTTACGTAATGCGCGGTTACTGTAACCAAGCCCGACAAGCTTTGTCAAATCACCATTTTGAATCTGTGCATTGTGTATTAGACTGTCGGTTCTTGCTGTTAAATTGCATTCATATCTTTCTATCAAAACTGCGTGTATATATATGAATTTCTGTTTTGGCCGGAAATGTCTTCCAACTTGCCATTCATCAAGCTGAGTTTCAGGCAGCTGCAATATTTTCTAAGAAAAAGAGGAGTTTCGACTACGGTATACACCCGAGAAAAGACTCGTTAAATTAGCGTCCGCAGTAGCGGACTAGCCTGCCCGTAGCCCCTGACCTACGGGGTCCGTGTCACTCGGTAGACGTGACTGAATGGGGAAATTACAACGGGCAGGATTTTCCTTAAGTGAACTGGTTACATACCTCCCTTAAGTTTGACGATATTCCTGACTTTGGGACCTATGACGTATTCAATTATCTAGTAGAGAATATGGCGGACCATGCATTTATGATCATCGAAAACTGAAGGCTTTTAAGAGTTTTGAAGACTTTCGATTGATATTTCCCGATGGCCATAGATTATGTGGCCTGGAGAAACCGAGTACAATCCCCCCTCTAGTTAGCTCTCGGCAGCTCATGATAGCGACTTGTGACTACATTATACAGGTCAAACCGACGCAAAAAGACAGAACATACCAACTTGAACAAAAAGAAAAAAGATATAAATAATAAACAAATAAAAAGTAGAAGTCTAGACTAGATCTAATAGAAAATGTAATAACAATTTTATTTTTAAATGTTTTTTTAAAATAATAATAATTGCTTCTTGAAGTTGAATAACGAAGGTCCGGCATAATTGTAGTCTAATACTATTAACTTTTATTTTATAAAAATCAAACTTAATTCCTAATCTTATTCTAAACAATAAAATTATTCATCATCCTGATTCTTCTTCCTTGCCATCATAAGGTTTTTTTTATTATTATTAGGCTTTTTTTTATTCTTCCCTTTTTCCATTGCTCTATCATTCTTTTTCCTTGTTCATTCTTTTTCTTCATTTTTTCCGTTCAAAATTATTTGTTTATCATTATTCATCATTCTTATTCTAGCTCTCTGTCATCGGACGATATTATTTTATAAACATTATTTTATTAACAAAGACCTTATATATATTATATTATTACCTTTATTGTCATTATTTCTCGTTGCTTTTGTTAATAATATTTATTCTGCAGTCAGTGCTTGCTTCTCGTTAGCCGTTTCTCGTTCGCCTTGAAATAGTCCGTATCGAGGCGTTTCACAAACATTTTTTAATCCGTAAAATTGTTTTCATTTTGAAAATGTGAATCGCGCCTACAGGAACACGAACATGTGGTACGCACGCACGCTTCTGCAAGCAGAGGTGACTGTGTGTGCGAACGAGTGGAAAATAGTTCATTACTTCTTTCATTTCTACGTCCAAATTTGTACTCAGATTCAAGCTAAGGTAAATGCAAAATTGAATGGAAATTACCGATATCGGCTAGCTAACTTATATTTTGGTGCTTCGCTTTCTGTTTCATCACTGGCTTTCAAGCCAATGTCGCTTGTATCATCGACCTCGTTTTTCTTCTTTTTGAGGGGGTATCGTGCGCTGCCTGTTCCGGGGACTTGACCGAACAGGTTTAGCTGCAAGATGTGAATCGCTAGTTCTGTACCAGCAATGCTTTTCTATTATTCTTGCCTAAGACTCAGCGATTTTAAAGATCAAATGTATGAAGAACAAAATCACATCTCAAAGATATTTATTATTCAAGTTTAAAACTGCCTCCTTTTTCTTCTCTCTCTCTCTCTCAAAATAGCGAAAACAAACGATACAATCACACCTAGCGAACACAGTCATGTATGGTATGCACGCAAAGTGTAGTCTGCTACGCACCGCGAGTTCTTTGCTTGTCCGACCCTCCGATTACGTAATGCGATTTAAAGGTCTCTGGATACATTATGAAACTGGCCTATTAAACAATAACAGTCACAAACCAGGGCATAATAACATACTCAAAAGGCGAGGTATCACATGCAATACTGCTTATTTATTTAGGATGAAATTATCCTGAAAAGTTTTATTTAGTACAATTTTGGAATACTCACTTATCCCCCCTTCCACGTTGCCTGTCATCTCCTCTCTCCCTGGATCTGTCTTGGTCTTGACCTCCAGATTGCCTGGTAAAAATTAAAATAAATAAATGACAGTCATTGACGAGGGCATGATATCATACTCTAAAGCTGAGGTTGGTACATACTCGGTATCACATACAATACTGCTTATTTATTTTGGATGAAATAATCCTGAAAAGTTTCATTCAGTAAAACATTTAAATACTCACTTATCACCCCTTCCACGTTGCCTGTCATCCCCTCTCTCCCTGGATCTGTCTTGGTCTTGACCTCCAGATTGTCTGGTACTGGTGTAAGAGTCAGATGGAGGTGGGGGAGGTGCAGCTGCCCAAGATTGCTGAAAGGAATCATCCTTCGGTGGGGCAGGAGTATCAGGTGGCGGCGGGGGAGGGGACTTGCGGTAGGCACTTGACCGCAAATCTTCAGATGGTGGAGGTGGTGGTGGCGGCGGCTGCTGCTGCTGCTGCTCGAACTGTTCCGTATAGTGTTGCTGCTGTTGCTGGGTGTTGTACTGAGCCTGCTGGGGGAACTGGCCCATTTGCTGGAATGCTTGCAGGTGTTGTTGTTGTTGGAATGCCATCTGTGATTCTGGTTGCTGGTAATAGCCAATCTGTTGCTGGCCACTGTATGGATCAAACTGTTGTGTCAGATCATCTGGCAGGTACTGCTGAGAGAATTGCTGGTGCTGTTCTCTGTAGGGAAGTTCTTGCTGCTGAGTTTGCTGGGGAAGTGATTGCTGCATGGGTGGCTGAGGTGGAGGCTGAGGTGAAGGTTCACGATGTGGTGGAGCTGGTGATTGTTGCATACTGGTATCATCTAAAGCGACAAAAACAGCATTAGAAATATTGACTCAATGTTAAAGCAATTAACAATTTTCAGTTCAACCAAAATACCACAATATGTAATGTTACATCATATGAGACTGGTCCGAGATCTCTCAAACATTGGGTCAAACTACCCTGAGACTGATTTATTGTCATTACATGTATTATGTTTTCTGCCAGGCATGGATTAATAGATACATCATTAAAAGAGCTTTTCAACTTATCAACACAATTTAAAAAAGGATCAAAACCGCATTTGGAGAACATTTTTGGGAGATCTTAACCTTGAATTTAAGAAAGACAAACCTCTCTTTGCGGGTTGAATCTCTTTATGTATTTGAAATTCTGAAGGGAACGATGACTCCCGCTCTTGAAGAAGTTCTGATCCGCTAATTGCTCTAGCATCTGGTCCCTGATTCTGACCATGACTATAATCAACAACGTCTACAATAACTGCATTGCTGAGCAGGCTTCCCATGGGATCTAGAAAATGAAAAATATAACAAAAACAAACAATAAAACAACCATAGAATGTGTTGTTGTTGTTCCATAGGGGAGCAAGGGCTACTCTAACAACCCTTACTGCACGGGGGAAGAGGGGAGGGGCTGATCAGGGTGCTGGGTGGCATGCCAGCCCTCATTAGTTGATAATGCGATTACATCATGAATATAAAATATTTTGTTCCTTAGGTCTCCCAGCAAAAAGGATTAGCATCTCTGGGAATGTTAAACAGAAAATGCTGATAAAAACATTAATAAGCAGGCCTAGGGTCAGCCCATTTAATTAATAAAATGTGATTGGGGTCAATAGTATAGCATTGCTAAATGATAACACCATGCAAATCGTTGCGATACTCGGTCATTCTGAAGATGGACACTTACCTCTTGTCTCTATGTCATAAGCAGGCCTGGTGGACTCTGCATGCCCATAGTCAAAGACAATAGGTGCTGTTATTTCCGTCACCGGAGGGGAATGAGCCCTCTCCATAGATCTGTGGAGATGAATCAGTCAAATGAAAAAAAATATAAAATTGTAGCTGTTTTCTGCAATAATTAACAAATGTTAGTTATATACATGACGACAAAACTTACGACAGTCAAACCCGTCTATAGCGACTACCCACGGGAAACACAAAAAGTGGCCTTTGTAGACAGGTTCCATAAGTACATGATTCAATGAGAAGCCATTTTTAAGGGAAACAACAAATATGGCCTTTGTAGACAGGTGGTCACTAAAGCAGGTTTGACTGTAACGAAAATGGCAAAGATCATAAATGGTCAGCTACCTCCTTTTTTGACAATTGGCATAATTCATTTTTTAATGTTACATTCTCCAGAAAAGAAACCGTGTCAAGATTCTATTTAAATTTTTTCTTCAATTTTTTTTTACAAGTGAATGCTTATATAAAAACTAACATCAACAAAAAACCTATGGTCTGTGATTGGTGTGAAAGATGTATCTTCTCCTCACCTGTCTTGAGAGGAATCTCTATCAAAATCCCTACGAGGCTCCCTTTGAGCTGGCAATGGAAGATCCCTTGGTGAATCCCTTGGAAGGCTTCTTAACCGATCCCTCAAAGGATCTCTTTCATAGTCTCTACGTGGTGGAGGGTATCGCATTCTTGGCCTCTCAGCTTCCGGGTAATAGTTCTCCCTTCTTGGTCGCTGAGGAGATCTATCGTCCGGGTGTCGCCTATCGCTATGTGGAGAATCCCTTGGCTTTTCATCAGGATGGCGCACCAAGGTATCATAAATCAGCTCTCGCAACTTGTCAAAGGCTTCTGTACTTGGCTTCCCACCTCTCCTATCAGAATCTTTCTCATATTCTTTGTCAGGATACCTGTCCCTCCTGTCCTTTTCTCTGTATCTGTCATCTCTCCCATCTCTTCGATCTCTCTGATCTCTTTGATCTCTCTGATCTCTTCGATCTCTCTGATCTCTTCGATCCGGGGATCTATTGCCCTTGTCTCTGCTTGGGGATCGTGAATTTTTACTTTTAGAGGGGGACCTCCTTTTGCTCGGAGAGTATGAGTTTCTCTTACGGGGTGGAGAATCCCGCCTCCGTTTCCTGCGGTCCTGTGAGATCGATCTAGACCGAGATCTACGCTTTCTTTTGTCTGGAGAACGAGATCTCCTTCTTTCAGGAGATCTCCTAGACCTTCGATCAGGTGACCGATATGACCGTGGGGGGGATGGGAGTGTAGTGCGGAGTGTGTCATCCCGTCCCCTATCATCTCTATCGCTAGAATCCTTCCTATTCATCTATAGGTCAAACAGTGATTAAATAATAGACTGATCAAGGAACAAAATATTTCATTCAATATTTACATTTGCTCATATATTTTAGATTTAGAAACCCGAACTATGTTGATTGGTGGTCTAAATGGACATTAACAACTTCCTACATACACCTAGGAGCCACATATGAAAGATTCACCAAAAGAAAGGGGAAAAATCGTAAAATTTGAGACCTTGAGTACCAAAAGAAAGGGAAAAAATCGTAAAATTTGAGACAATGAGTAGCTGAATTGGCATATGGTAAGTAGTTGTTTTGTAAGAATTGTTCAACTTTAATTGCAGCAGCCCATTGCCTAAACGACTCTGGTTGCTTTTCCTTGTTAGGAATCGAGAAAAAGGCCTTCTCGAGTCCTTTCCCAGAGGCATTTTTTATGCCCAAATGCTTAGCAGTACACCATCTTCTTTGTGTTAAGTACACATATGCATATACAGCGGAAGAGTGCACATTGGGCAATTCCTAATGCAGTTACCCGCTGACACTTCACAACTAGACAGGGGTATATGCTTAGGACATGAAAATGGTGATTCCCTATGTGGTACATGAGCAGACGACTCGTGTCAATTTTTTGTGAGGAGACAATTTGACATATTGCAAGAATTTAGTGGTGTGATTCACTTATATCTGGCATGAAGCTTTTTTTAATTCGGCCTACTTGCAAAATTTGTGACAGTTTCTGGTTTTACAGCATGTATTATTATTAATGCATCAAAGCATTATTTTTCTGATTAATTGGTCACTTTGAACACGAGGCTTTTACAGAATGACCTTTTCAAACAAAAGGATTGCTTGTTCCTTTTCATAGAATCATACTGCTTTTCCGTTTGTAACCACTTCTTCCTTCCATTACAGAAGGTAATCAAAATCGCATCTGAATGTAAAATATAAATAGTTCATTACCTTTTTAGAGTGAGGCGCTTCTTCCTCTTCCTCATCATCTTCTGCTGCTTTCCTGTAGCTCCTAAGTGAGGTCTTTACATCTTTGTTGAATGCTGGAGGTGTTGTAGAGTTCTTCTTGAATAGCTCACCAATTGATGAAGGTATCATAGACTTGGTTGTAGAATCTGTGATCAATGGTAGGGTGCTACGCACAGTTACTCTCTTTGAAACCTCCTCAGAAGGTGAATTTTCTTTTTTAAACTCCTTAGCTTTTGCAGCCTCCTTTGCTGCTTTTTCATCAGTAGATGTCTCGTCCTTTTCAACTTTGACAGGATCATCAGAATCTTTATCAATTTTAGAATCCCCAAATTTGATGATTGTAGGCATGTTCATATTTCCCTTTTTCCCTTTTCCTTTTTTTTTATCCTCTGACTTTGATTCATCTTTTTTCTTTTCTTCTTTCTTGGCCTTTACCGATTCTAATGACTCATACCCAGCAAGTGGGCTTGGAGCTAATGTCTGTTTTGTTGAAACAAAGGAGCTGGCACCAAAAGAATCTTTCACCATACCTGTAATTGGTATGGATTGTCCAACTGAATAGGAATGTTGAGTCAAACCTTTGGATGGTGGGGGAAACAGTGGCTTGTTTTGCCCCTTTTCAAATTCACTTATATTGTCTTCCGGTGGTTGCGGCTGTTTACTTTTTGTGCTTGGCTGGCTTTCCTGTTCTGGTTCCATCCCTGGTGGAAATGTCTCATCCATCCCAGGAGGTGCAAGATCTCTGGGAAAAGCAAGGGGTTTACTAATAGGCTCCATACCAGGAGGCATTGGCTCTTCAAAGCTGCTATCTTGAATTGAAGATGAGTTTCCAAATCCTGCTGGACCTTGTGTTGAACCAAAAGGATAACGTGGAATTCCAGGGGGAAAGGTATCTACACCTGGTGGACCAATATCCAATTGCCTTTGATCAAATGGAGGGCGAGGCTTTCCAGCTCCCAAATAATGGCTATGCATACTAATTGCATCAATATCCACACCAGGAGGTCCAACATCGACACCAGGAGGTCCAACATCAACTCCAGGTGGACCAGGAGGACCCCTGGTCAAACTCATGGGCAATGTCCCCATAACTGGAGGTGAGTTGTCCATCCCTGGAGGTTTAATGTAATTAGATGGAGGTCCTCTGTCCGTTCCTGGAGGACCCATATCCATAACTGGAGGGGCTATGTCTATTCCCGGGGGTCCCTTGTCCATGCCACTAGGTCTCATCTCCACACCAGGTGGACCCGTATCCATTCCTGGTGGACCTGTCTTCAGTGCAGCAAGAATGCTCCCTAAACCTAGTTGACTTTTAGTACGACCTGGGGCGTTTATTTCTATTCCTGGTGGGCCACTGTCTATTCCTGGTGGGCCACCGTCTATTCCTGGTGGGCCTCTATCCATTCCTGGTGGGGCTGCCCTCAACCCAGCAAGAACGTTCCCTAAAGCTAGTTGACTTCTATCGGTTCTCAATGCACCACTGTCTACTCCTGGTGGGCCACTGTCTGCTCCTGGAGGGCCACTGTCAATTCCTGGTGGGCCTCTGTCAATCATTCTATGATCATTATCCATACCTGATGAATCTTTAAGTCCTGCAAGAATTCCCCCGATCCCTAGTTGAACTTTATTAGTTCTTGGTGCATCTCCCTCATTTCTTGATGAGCCTCTATCCATTTCTGATTGGCCTCTATTCCTTCCTGCTGTACCTCTATCCATTCCAGGAGGGCCTTTATCTATGCCTGGATGTCCACTCTCCATTCCAGGAGGGCCTTTATCCATGCCTGGATGTCCTCTATCCAGTCCAGGTGGGCCTCTCTCCATTCCGGGAGGGCCTCTATCCATTCCAGGAGGGCCTTTATCCATGCCTGGATGTCCTCTATCCATTCCGGGAGGGCCTCCATCCATTCCGGGAGGGCCTCTATTCATTCCAGGAGGGCCTTTATCCATGCCTGGTTGTCCTCTATCCAGTCTGGGAGGGCCTCCATCCATTCCAGGAGGGCCTCTATCCATTCCGGGTAGTCTTTTGTCTGTTCCAGGAGGAACTCTCTCCATTCCTTGCTGTCCTCTATCCATTCCAGGAGGACCTCTATCCATTCCTGTTTGTCCTCTATCCATTCCAGGATAACCTCTATCCATTCCTTGCTGTCCTCTATCCATTCGTTGCTGTCCTCTATCCATTCCAGGAGGACCTCTATCCATTCCTGGTTGTCCTCTATCCATTCCTGGTTGTCCTCTATCCATTCCTGGTTGACCTCTATCCATTCCTTGCTGTCCTCTATCCATTCCAGGAGGACCTCTATCCAAGCTTGGTTGTCCTCTATCCATTCCGGTTGGTCCCCTATCCATCCCAGGGGGACCTCTATCCATTCCAGGAGTGCCTCTATCCATTCCTGGTTGTCCTCTATTCATTCCAAGAGGGCCTCCGTCAATTCCTGGTTGTCCTCTATCCATTCCAAGAGGGCCTCTGTCCATTTCTGGTTGTCCTCTATCCATTCCAAGAGGGCCTCTGTCCATTCCTGGTTGTCCTCTATCCATTCCTGGTTGTCCTCTATCCATTCCAAGAGGGCCTCCGTCCATGCCTGGTCTTCTTCTATCCATTCCGGGAGGGCATCTATCCATTCCTTGTTGTCCTCTATCCATTCCTGGTGGGACCCTTTCCCTCCCTTGAAGACTTTCTCTTGGGCCTCTGTCTATTCCTGATAGACCTCTATTGAATTCTTGTGAGTGTCTCTCCATACCTTGAGGACCTCTATCCATTCCCATTGGGTGTCTTCCCATCCCAGCAGAATCTCTGTTCATTCCTTGTGGACCCCTCTCTATGTCTACAGGTCCTCTTGATGCTTTGGCATTTAAAGCTTGCTGTTTATCCTGATCGGCTATGTTGCTTCCCCTTGGGGTTGGTTGAAATTTTGCAGAAACATTGCCTAGTTCAGATTCCATCTGTTTCATGAATTCTTCCATATCTTTGGTCATGTCTTCGGGTTTCAGTCCTTCAGGTAATGGAAAGTCGGGTCCCATTAAACCACCTGGCATCGGAAAATCAGGGAAGGAAAATGGAAACTCATCAGATTTAAAACCACCTGAAAACATTGCATCTAGTTTATTCATATCAGGGAAGGAGAAATTGTCCATATCTCCTGGAAATGGAAAATCATCAGGAAATGGGAAAGGAAAGCTGTCTTTGCCAGGCATCTGTCCTTTTGGGCCTGGAAGTCCAGCTCCAGAGTTTGACCTGCTTCCACTCTCCATTCTTGGCCCTTGCCCAGGTCCTTGAGGCAATGCAGGGGTAACTCTAGGATTTGTTCCTGAGGGACCTGGTCCCATTCCACTCCCAGTTGGCATTGGTCCTACTCCAAGTCCTCTGGGTCCTGCTCCCATCCCAGAACCACTTGGAACTGTGGCTACACTCTGACTGCTTGGTATAGAACCAATTGATGACCCTTGTCCCATTCCAGCACCACTAGATGGAACCATTCCATGCCCACCTGATGGCATTGCTACATTTGCACCTTGTGTGGTAACTGTTCCTACACCACTGCCGACAGAAGCAGGTGTCTGGGTTGTTGAAGCATTTTTAGAGGAGTTCTTCTGAAGGGATGTCTCTTTTATTTTGATTTGCATGTCCAAAGAATTCACCATGCTCTCCATCTGTGTTTGCCATGTTTTCCATTGATTTTGATATTGATCAAACTGGTCCTTGTTTGGATGTTTCTTATGCTGTTCTACCCAATTATCAAACTGATTTTTCCAGTCTGTGAGCTGCTTTTCACAGGTAGCCTTCTTTTCCTGCAAGTCTTTCTGCAAGAGTAAACAACACAATAGAAAGAACACATAGTTCATTACACATACATCTTTATATACATGTCCATGTAAATCATAATGCTCTGGACATAAGGGGTCAAATGTAAAGGGAATTTGTACTTGAACATGTTCTACACCTTGGCCCAGTATTACACAGAATTGATATTAATTGCAACTTATTTGCAATTGATATCAATTGCAACTAAGTCCATGTATATGAGATAAGAGATTGCAAACTTGTGATTGATTGGACTCTTTATAAGACGATGTGGTACACCAGGGCCCCATCTTATAAAGAGTTGATATTAATCGTAACTACAGGTATGTACATGAGAGATTTATAAGGAGATTGCAAATTTGTGATTGATTGGAGGACTTGCAATTGATTTGGATCAATCGTAACTCTTTATAAGACGGGCCCAGGTGTTAACACCAATAATAATGGCTGATAATCTGATATCAATATTTTCTTTTACTATGTAACAAAAATTTAACAGAAATATTACAAGCGGTATTTTTTTCATACTTTCTAGTTTCTAAGCATACTCTTGACAAGGCACACATAACAGTAAAAAGTAAAAAGGTATTCATCACAACCGCATCATAGTGACATGACTAATTTGACATTTTCATTAATGACTGATCTCAACTTGCTGTCTTTCAAAGTTTGATTTTTTTTTCTGGTTCTCCTGCTGCAGTTTATCTTGAACAATTATCAATGTCAAATTCCCCTTTTAAATTTCCTGTCAAAATGTTTTACATCAACAACCTGTAAATTCTTATTTATTGCTGGAAAGGCAATCCTGTAATTGAACCATAGAAGTGCATATGGCCAAGCCAAAAGATAATGAATGAATGAATGAGTAAATAAAGTTGCCTGAAATTCAGGAATAATGGTAAAATAGTATAATCCTTAAAATTTTCCTCTGAAGCTGGCTGCCTGACAAATGGAGCAATTTTTCCAACTTTGCTGGTAGATCGGATCTGAAAGTGTCTTGCAGCCAGTCTTGTATTTTGTGGTGTGACCAATAAAACTAATAACGTTGTACAGAACATATTTAACTATTATACAAAGCAGGTGAAGCAACCATGTCTTTGATGGTAAAACATACCAATTTAACATCCATCAAGGTAGTCTCTTGACTTTGGTACCATTGTTGATACTGTTGCTGATATGATTGCATCTGTTGCTGGTAGCTCTGCCACTGGTCTTGAGCAGCTGCCTGTTTTTGTACAGTTTCTTCCTCCTTTCGAACCGGGGCCGTTGCCTGCCAATGTAAGGCCTGATCCTGAAGCCCTCTCAACTTCACATCTTCATTCTAAAATTCAAATTCAATAAGGTTTTATCATGTCATTATCATCTTTATTAGATTTATATATTTTTCAAAAACTAGGTTAAACTAGAAATGATATTGATAGAGTAAAAGAAGAAAGAAGGACCAATTTTCTTATCATTTTTTAAAGTATTTTTCCTAAAAATGAAGACTTATAATATACACTTTTTCACTGGATTCACGGTAAACTGCTGCACAATACAATTGCATAACGTACCGACGGTGGGGTGCGGGCGCGCGCCTGAAGTTAGCGACTGTAATCTTAGATCCTCATTAAATAAGTTAATCTAATTAAGCAATTCACCATTATGGTCACTAACTTCACACGCGTACACCCGCACCTTAACGTCAGTGAGGTATGCAATTGTTATTGTATTGTGAAGCAGTTTGCGGTGAATCCTGTGAGAAAGTGTATATTAATACAAGTGTTGTTTTTTTAGGAAAAACTTGACACGAAACAGGTAAGAAACATAACATTAGGCCTAACAACTTTTATTCAGTTTTAAATCAAGTTCATTAATTTATTTGATCGATTGATGAAGATTTTTGTTATGTTTCAGTACTGTACTCTGTAGGGTATCTCCACGCCGGAGTTACAGGTCAAAGTATGGATATGATACTGAATTAGATCTAGCGCCTTTTCTTATATTTCCCGAAGTCTAAACACTTGGTCGACGTAAAGTTAAATTTAACTAGACTAGTAACTAGATCTAGACCTCTAGTCCAGTAACTTTACAACTCAAAATAAAAATCTAAAATGTAAATTTAAAATTTTGAACTGACCTGAGGCGGTTGTGGGACTGCAGTATCTGCGGCTTGCGCTTGATTGACTAACACCCGAACAGGCTCTGGGATGGGCATACCCATTCTTGGCCTTGGGCCACCTGGACCAGGACCATGCATCATCGACATCGTCATCGGTGGAGGTGGTCTTCTTGGTCCTGGTCCACCTGGTCCCATCATATTCATACCTGGTCCATGCCAATGCCCCGGGCCCGACATGGGTCCGCGAGGGTTCATGCTGTCCATCCTCATTCCCATGTGGTGCGAGCCAGGCCCCGGTCCTGGCGGGCCACTCATATGCATGGGTCGTCCACCTGCCCCTGGACCTGATCCTGGTCCGTAAAATGGAGGACGATTCGGCATTCCATTTCCTGGCATCATCGGAGGCCTTTCGCCCGGACCTCCAGGCCCGGGCCCACCTGGCCTGTTCCAGTTGTTGAACATCAGAGTGAAAATATGAAGAGTACTGGTACTCGAGCCTTTTCTTTATCGTTTACAACAAGTCGAGCATGTTTTTATCGAAATTTTCTTTGATGCGAAATATTTCTGTTGCCTTCAGAATTCAGAATAGACTACGTCGCGTTGCAATTTGCATTGGCGCTGCGCTGCATGCACGAGCGATCCGTGAGCGTATTCATCAGAATAGGCATAGACAATGCATTCACGATACACATGCATACTACTTGTACACGCAAAACGCCAATTTTATTTTTTCGCTGTAGTGGATACAGCTGTGTGATTGAGTTACTCGAGTAGACGCAGCGAAATTAAATTTTTATTATCTTATTATTTTGACAAGCGCCATCTTCGGTCAAAGTATCCCTTCATTTTTAAAATTTTAAATATGTTTAAATATGTTTTAAATATGTTTTAAATATGTTTGACCCCAGTCTTGCTCTAAAAGTCTTTACATGGATACACTGATTTTGATCACTTGACCATCTCCACATAATTTTCCTTTCTTAGCTGATGCAGTTCACACACAAACGCACATAGTTTGCAAGAATCTTTAGTCAATTTGAAGGAGGCAGACTTAATCGGAAGAAGAAGAAGAAGATGCCCATTTTATAATATCTACCTACCTGAACCTTGGCAGCGCGCGTTGGTGGGGGGGGGGGGGGCATTAGAGCCAATCATGCAACATAGAAGTAATTTTTCTAGACAGTTACATGCATTTGGGTGGTGTGGACAAAAGGTAGGGGGTGTCAGATCCATTCCTGTATTTTCTATCTCTTCTTAGTTTTTAAATACAGTACAAAGGCGCGATAACTTAGTTGGTGGAGCAGTGGTCTCGGACCCGGGTTCGAAACCAAGGTGATGCGCTAGAGCCCTTTAGTAAGGCATAAATCCTCATCACCAGGTCTTTCGGAGAGGACCTAAAGCCGTCAGTCCTCACTAACAAGCATTAATGCTTTCTTAGCAATAATAAATAATCACCACCACCACTACATAATCATTTTAAAATGGGTGTTATATATAAGCATCAGTTGTATTTAATAAATTAGTCGGCCTAATTATATAGAGCAAATATATTCAACTAGAGGGATTTTTAATACAGAGCTAGTACTTGGTATATTTACCTAGAGAAACAACATTGGTAGCTCATATCACCCCCCCCCCCCCCCCCACACCCGGCCCCCTCCATCTCGTACAGTACGTTCAATGTGTCCGAAAAATGAATGAAGAAATAAAGTAAAGGACGTTTTCTCCTTTACAACATTGAATGATGACCATTTTTGGCTTTTTCCACCACAGTTTTTGTTTTAACTGTTCTTATAGGGCATACCCTGAGTAACAAATGTTGATCTTGTATAGTATACTATTGTTTATGTTATATATCGTCCAAAAAAAGAAAGGTCATAACTCATAAAGTGTACCGGTATACTGTGAGAACAATCAGAATCTCTATTATTAAATCCAACATTACATGTACTTCTTGCTCTTCCACAAGCATCTCCCCCTAATCTCTCTCTCTCTCCCCCTCTTTCTTCTTTTTCAACACCCTATTTTCTCATTCAGTTTATTCACACTCTTTGATGTTGTCTCTCTTCATCTTTAATTTGAAAATTAAAACAGAATAACAGATTTCCTTTTTATTTATAATAGGTTGAAGACAAATTTTGAGAATTGTATTGTTTTGTGCCTATTGTCTTCTCCAAATTATCTGAAAAAGAAGTGCAAAATCTGCCAAACACTCGTTATTGGTCCTGAAAAATCATACTCAATGTTAATGTGGACATTTCAAACTACCAATGGCAGGTCTAATGTTTTGGACTGAATTAAAGTCCTGATGTCATCTACTGTAGAATGATTTACTATTTACAAGCAAAGTTTTGGATAAGTTCAAATGATTAGAAAGAGATGTCATAACAAACTTTACATCACTGTATTCCATCATTCTCTCATAAAACTCATCATGCATTTAAACAGTACAAAGTTATTGAATAATAGGCAGACAGAAATCACAGAACTAGAATTGATGTTTTTATTTTCTGTATCATCTGCTTATGTACATAAATGGCTTTAATTTCTCACTAATTACTGATATGTGTACATGTATTTTAACAAAGTGTCATATAATTTACTAAATTATACAAACTTTACAACTTGAAACATTCACAATTTTGCATGTAATTATATATGCAAACTTCAGCTTAGTATGAGTTTCATTTTGTTTAAGTTCCCATTGATAAAGTGTCAAATCTAATTTCACACATCTAGCACAAACATATATTCTAATGTCCACCACACACTTCATGAAACTTTTGCAATCTGATTTTCTAAGAAATTGCAGTTGCATTGGTTATGGAAATTTAAAAACAATCTTTCTGATTTTCCCAATAATGATAGAAAATCAACTATCAATTATTTTTGGGAGGCCAAATTGGCTTAAAATTGTAGTCAATCGCACAACTGCAATGATGGTTCTGAGCCAATATGAGTTTTGCTTCCATATTATGTACATGTAATTATTCATAGTCGTAGTCGGGTCGTAGTCGGGTCATAGTCAGGTCATTACATGAGGGCTTAGGAGTTAGGGGGAGCTAGGGAAGTCCATCATAATATCAAATTGGTTTGAGTATACATACATGTATTTCCAAAAGTTGAACAAATTGTGGCTAGAAATGAAAGCTTCAGAAAAAACAAAGGAACTGGGTAACTTTTAAATAGTATTTGATCTAACATAATTTGCAACTCTATAATCTTCCTTCCAAGCAACCCTCTAATTGTTCTGTACTGAAAAGTGGGAACCATGCAAAATACTATTTTTTGTGGTTGATTGAAAAAAATGAATAGATCTGATTCATAGAGTGATGTTAAAAATAAATGTCAAGGCACAGGCATGAGAAAATATTGAAAATGATAGGCAGCACATGGGGAAAAACAATTTTACCTTAGTAAAAGAAGATACATTCATAACAATTGTCAGAAAATATTAAATACAAATACATGTAGCTACCTCATGTCTTTTCAAATTGATGACTGTGGTACTTGCAGCAGTTACTGTGACACCTCCCTGCTTTGACATTAGTTCACAATCTCCATGCATGACAGTTTTTTTTTTATTTCCAAAGGTGCAGCACAATGTGTTAACCCTACATGTACATGTACCTGGAAGTGAAGCTGAATTTTATAAGAAAACTGGCTTGACGTAATTTCCAAGCTGTTGATTACGTGATGTAGGACATACATGTAGATTTGAATGGACCAGCAAAATATAAACAAACAATAAATGTGATAAAGAAAACAAAAATCACAATTTTATTGAAAACAAAGCACTACATTATCTACAAGTACATCTTCAACACATTCCAACAAATAGGATCGTGTTAGTATAGTGCTAATATACAAATGTCCAAGTCATCACAATGACTTCCTCGATTTCTTTATTTTCTGTCAATACCAGGCCTCAGGGCTAATACATTTAATTTTAGGACAACAAGTTTGTTTCCCCATAACCAAATGTATACTACAAACAATGTGAAATCAATCGATAGGAAACTTAAGATTAAGAATCAAGTTCATACAGTCCCTCTTTAAAGTGTTGAAACAGACAAGCAGTGTTTTTTTCCAGAAAAAAGAAAGAAAACCTTGTCATCATTAACTACACAATCCCATCAACATAAACATCATCTTTGAAGATATTCATTATTTCCTGCAGATTTTCATGAATTTGGGAAAGATCAGTTCTCTTTACTTGTCCACTGCAAAGTAAGACCTTGACCTTATTGAATGTATCATACACATTGTTCATGTACTCCTCCGGGTTGATAGTTACTGGATTTATCAGTTGAGTTGTTGCATGTACTGGACTCTTCCTCTGTTTGGATTTTTTTGGCTTCATTTTAGGCGTAGAAAGGATAGGTTCAGGTATGAGGACTTGTGCATCAGGGACATTGCTTGGTTCTTCAGGTAGATCTACGACTACAACTTCCATCTCCTCCTGTACCTCGCCATCAAACACAACAAATTCTTCACCCATATTCATGTGTTTGAATTCTTGTACCCCTGTAACTCCTGTTGCTGCCTCTGTCGTTCTCCTTTCCTCTTCTGTCGTTCCACTAATTTTCTTAGGGATCACTTTCTTCAGGACTCCTTTCTTGATCATCATTCGCTGGATCACTGACACATGAGACTTGGTAACATTCTGCAGGCGATTGTATACCCCTATCGCTATTGCAAGCTCAGACTTGTGTTTTTTCTGAAGTTCCCGGATGATCTCCTCAGGACTGAGACCAGCTTTCAACCTCTCCTTGATCTCATGACGCAAGGACTCTGGCATGGGAAGATGTTGTGACCCAGAGAATGACAGAGGGTGGGAGTGAGCCCTGTAATGAGTGACCTGTATAGAGCCATCTTCATTAGACTCCTTCAAGAGCAATCGAGCAGGACAGTACTTCTCCTTCTTACCGCCTGAAATCTTTTTTAATCCAACTCTTCTTGAGAGAGCACAAAGATAATGTCTATGAGTAGAATTTACCATTTTAATGTCACCTCTTGTCTTAGTGTAGCAAACAAAGTTCTGAACTTCTTCTCTAAGTTTCCATGTATAAAACTCCTCCAAATTCACAAACTTCAAAATCTCTTTATCTGGCACTTTAGAATGCAAAAATTCTTCATGCGCATTCAATTTGCGTTTGCTGGTACACTGGAAACTGCAGCCTTCAACTTTGCAGATTTCCATCTTCTTGTGGATGTTTTTTTGATGTCGAAACCGGTTGCATGAATATGAAAACATCTTTCCACATGTTGGACAGGCATACTTCTTCACCTAAAAATGGAAACACACACAGAGAGAAGGAATTATATCTACATATACTGGTATCTATCAACACTGCATAAATCAATTTCCCCCCTTTTTTTGTACATGTTTGAGATATCTGCCCACCAAAAAAAAACATCTGTTTTGTTCTGAACCTACTGGAAAATGATTTTGTTTTTCCTCCAGCAATTTTAAGTAATTCATAGATTATTCGATTTTGCACCATTTCAAAGACTTTGGGTGTTCTTAATTTGTTCAGGTCTGTAAGTAATATCTTAGAATAATTCGAAAATTAATAACATATTTCAATGTTTCAACTAGTTTATGTTGGGAAATATCATTTTTACCATTAGGCCAAATAAAAAAAAAAAACATGTTTAGTGTCCTGTTTTTTCGAAAAATAGGAAGGAGGAGGCCCTTTTTTTTTCAAAAAATGGCCGCTCCGTACATTTCCCCTGACATTCGGGCTATTTTTCAAGATGGCGACCGACATTTTTTTATTTTTTTTTTTAATCAGAAATAGATCCATTTTAGCAGTGTTTTTCATGTTTTTTTTCTTTAAAAAAAAATGTCAAAAAAAAAAAAAAGAGGCGGCGGCCCCCAAAAAGGAAGCAGGCGGGACGCTAAACATGTATATTGTTTTACATGGCCTTACGTAAAGGGATCGTTTAACAATGATAAATCGGCGATGCACGGCCCTACATGTTATCAGTGTCTGCGATATGGTGTTATATTGAAGCCCTAGAAAAATTGTGCTTCAAAATGATCAAGTGCCTCAAAAAAAAAAAAAAAACGTTTGAGCGACCAGTTTTTTCATACTCGTTGAGTCGTTTTCCCCAACAAATGAAAACCGTTTGGCAAACGCAAAATTTGATTTTGATTTTCAATCATAAATATCTTGATAATCAGACAGGCGATCAGCTTGTAAAGTTAATGGGGTTCCTGACTGACCTAAATGTTTACAATTATCATTGCAGCATGAGCTAAATCAAGGATTTTTTAAAAGGATCTAAGACAAAGTTACCGGATCCCTTTAACATATTACTGGTAAGTGCAATAAAAATGGAAGTTTTGTTAGTGTACAGCAAGTGATGTACCCATAGTTAACCGCATGCTCTGTAGATACACGTAGACGGTATACATTACAGAGTAGGCGGGTACATGTAGATCTGTCGAATGAGCTGGACCATACATGTACTTTTCTAAGAATTTCACATTTTTGCACCATACTAGACATGAAGCTATTTGTTACTCTACTCTTGTACTTTATAGTATTGAAAAGTCAAATTTCACACTTTCTTTTCTTTCCAATCATGTTTGTTCCTTAGTTATGCTTAGCCTTACCCTTAGCCATAGCCTATATGTATGTAGGTCTAGTACTGTCCAGGGGCGTAGACAACGGGGGGGGGGGGGGGGGGGGGATGGCATGTACAATCATCCCCCCCAGGTTTTGGGGAATGATATTTGCTTACTTAGTAAGTCATAATGATGATAATAATAGTAATAATGATAATGATAACGATTATAATATTAATAATAATAATAATTATGATGATGATAATAATATTCCTATTCATTATCGTAATTGTGCCGCATTCACACGGTGAAAGCCAATTCAGACGGTAAAAAAAAGAAAATCTTACAAGTATTTTGTGGTTATCTTGTGGTTTGGAAACCACAAGATAACCACAAGATTAAACAGGCGCGGATCTACGGGGGGGGGGGGGGTTTTAGGGGGTTTAAAACCCCCCCCCCCCTCCCTTTGGGCGGCCCAAAAAACAAACCAAAAAAAAAGGGGAAAAAAAGGAAAAAAAAGAAAAAAAAGAAAAAAAAAAAAAAAAAAGAAAGAAAGAAAAAAGAACGCACGCTGGAGAGAAACCCTTTCAAGTGCAAATATTGTGAGAAGATATTCAACTCATCTGGTAACTTAACCAAACACATGATAACTCTGGATATAACTGTGTATTTAACTGTTACTTGATTTAAAAAGACGTTATCATGCACTGCTTTTTATGGTCTCCATTGTGTTAATAGATGCCAGGAAAACATCACTTACGGGGTTCAAATAAACACCCCAAAAAAAATCGGCTCGCCGCTTTGCGGCTCGTGGACGATGCTCCGCATCGTCATTACTGGTCAACCCCCCCCCCCTTAGCAAAAAGCTAGATCCGCCCCTGAGTCATCCCCCCCAGGTGTACGAACCTGTCTACGCCACTGGTACTGTCAGTCCAGAAACTAAGTATGCATATTTGCTGCGCTGCTACCGTGCATGCGTACCGTTACCTTCTCTTCGCCATTTTGAATCGACGCTGCAACATGCAAGAATCGTCGGGGTAGGACTCAGAATCACCCCCTTTAACCCATCGAAGACTTCTTCAAATTATAATTTCAAGTGGTCAGATTGATGCCCAGAGGAGTTGTGCAACCTATGAAGTCAAAATTGTAAGTAGAGGTCTACTCCCTTTGCAGATTTGAAGATAATATCGCTTAATCGGCAGTTTTAACAACCCCACGGTTTACTTGCTGAAGCACCGACGCCTGCGGCGCAGCGCCAGTTAATTGTTTGAGGTTAATTTGAAGGCTAACGCCAAAGCTCATGCCAGAGGCAGAGCTCAGCTCCAGGCCTTTATATCACGTCTACGTCTCGCGTCTGGCAATGGGTTGCGTAATTTACAAAGCCGATGCCAATGCACTGCACAACGACGCGACGTAGCCCCGGCCTGTGGGCAGCCGACAGGGCAGCGGTGGCGCGGCGGCAGATCAGACGGCACAAAAAAGCAAAGTAGACCCTTTGCCTTCACTTGCATGGCATGGGTGGTATGCCTATACTGCACCTTTTTCACCTCTTCTGGTCTTTCCGTAATAGGTTCTTCGATTTCAGGTCCCAGTCCTTCTACGTCAATCATTTTGAGGATATTTCTGTGAAATTGGCTCAAATCTATTTCTCTCGAAGGCTACATACACTGCATGCACTGTACGCAATCACGCAACGGGTCAAAGTCATCAGACAGATCTGGAATTATATGTGCTTGCCAATTTAAAAGCTGAAGTTCTATTCAAATCTTGATCGTTTAATTATTGATCCATTCATTCATATTATATTCACTTATTTATTTGTTGGTTAATTAATTAATTTATTTATTTTATATGTTCGTTTATGCAATCACATTGATATTAGTATATTAATTTATTTGTTATTTTATTTAATTACTTATTATTTTCAGCACTTAGGGCCTATATAATTTTTTACAGCATGCAGGACTGGAAATTGACATTTTTTCTTTAGGAATATATTTGATAGAGATCACTTTTAACTCTATTCAAAAGAACTAGAAAAGAAGAAGAAGAAGAAGTTAGAAGAAGAGGAAGAAGTAGAAGAAGAATATAGAAGAAGAAGAAGAAGAAGAAGAAGAAGAAGAAGAAGAAGAAGAAGAAGAAGAAGAAGAAGAAGAAGAAGAAGAAGAAGAAGAAGAAGAAGAAGAAGAAGAAGATCGAAGAAGAAGAAGAAGAAGAAGAAGAAGAAGAAGAAGAAGAAGAAGAAGAAGAAGAAGAAGAAGAAGAAGAAGAAGAAGAAGAAAAAGAAGAAGAAGAAGGAGAAGGAGAAGAAGAAGAAGAAGAAGAAGAATCCATATAGAAGAAGAAGAAGATATAAGAAGAAAAAGAAGAAGAAGAAGAAGAATCCATTTGTTTATTTAATTACTTATTATTTTCAGCACTTATATAATTTTTTACATGCCGGACTGGAAATCGGCATTTTTTCTTGAGAAGAAGGAGTAGAAGAAGAAGAAGCCAAGAAGAATTAAAACTTGAAGAAGAAGAACGTACGGAAGAAGAAAAAGAAGAAAGAAGAAGAAGGAAGAATTAGAACTAAAATAGGAACTTGAAAAGAATTAAGAACATAAAGAGGAAGAAGAAGAAAAAGAAAGAAGACGAAGAACAGGAAAAACAAGAAGAAATTAAAGTGGAAAAACAGGAAGAAATAGAAAAAGACGAAATGTTCAAATGTCAATCCTTTGTGCACTTAGCACTCCTAGCTTAAAATTGGCAACGTGGAAATAAGAATTGGAAAAGTTTACTGAAGAGTAGATTACCACGCCATGCCTGTCCACGGCCACGGTAAGATTGAGGTTAAACTTGTTATAATGCTGTTGGCTGTTGCGTGTATTTGTAATTTTGTTCAAGGTAATTTGAGATACATTATGAAATTAGAGAGACAAGAAACCCCCTAACTATAATGTTTGTGCCTAACTACCCTAGGCTAGAGGTCTATACTAGTATGCTCTAGATCTAAGTAATTGCACCCGGCAGCCAAGGGCAAGTTGGCCGTGCCTGGCGGGGCTGAGACTAGACTGGTACTGCCACTGGTACCGTAAGTGGTAGTGGTATGTAGTGCACACATTTACTATCCTGGGGCTCGTTCCTAGAAACCAACGACAAGACAGTCATAACTTTTTCCGCCAACTACGGAGATGTCTCTGATCTTCCTAAACCGTTTCACGAAGAGCTTACTACTACTAGCTAGTATCTCGTGAGATCGATATTAATTATTATCAGTAGGGGCGCTGGTCCGAGAATGAGGATCGTCCTTATAAACAAGGATATCCTCATAAACGAAGACAAAATGTGTCCTCAAAAATAAGGGTCGTCTGCATTTTCGAGGACGTTTTTTTTCATCGGCGCTCTGGGGGTTTCATGTTACAGAACGGCCCGCTGGCGATGCCAAAAATGGATTCCCCGGGGGAAAATAACCCTAGTTGTCTGTCTACTTTTATGGGTTGTCCGTCTTCCCAAGGATTTATTGCTCATAATGTGAAGGTCTCTGTACAAAGTCAATGTAAATTGCATCAAGAAAATCATTGCAGAATCCATTTTTTGCATCGCCAATGCGCCGATCAAAAATATGAAACGTCTGCAAAAATGCAGACGGTCCTTATTTTTGAGGACGCATCCATCAGTGTTAAAGAAGACGATCCTCGTTTATGAAGACGATCCTTATTCTCGGACCAGCGCCCCTACTGATTATCGGCGAGAAGAGGAGCCGAGAATTAGCCTTAGTCGCAATACCACCAGATTATTACAAAATTACTATTAGGGAAAATGCAATTATTTAAATTCAGTAATAAATCCAACAGGCTAAACCTACATTATAGAAGCAGTGACCGGGAATTACAGGCCAACGCCTTCTACTTCTACCCGTACTTGTTGATGATGATGATGATGATGATGATGATGATGATGATGAATTAGTAATAAAAAAGATTAAAAATGATAAATGATAAAAGAGATCCAATATACTTCCAAATTTGTGTAGATTAAACAATTGAAGTACTTGTAAAATATAATTGTGAGTTTTTCATTACATGACCAGTGAATCAGTTTTGTTGTTGAGATGGGCACCCCCCAAATATTTTCATTTGATAGTTTATAAAAATACACCCTTATATTATTCTTTGAAAAAATACGATGTAATGAAATTTGTGTTCAATGTTTTTGGCGTCAGCACAATATAAAAATTACAAAACTTCAATATTTCAAACGTTAAAACATATGTTTAAACCATTCACTTTGCATAATTGAAAATAAAATTCATCTCGAAATTAATATGGGTCTGAAAACTAAAGAATACACTTCAAACTATGGCTTGCCTGCCGTGGCAAAATACATATCCCTTCGACGAGTTTACAATGTGGAAATAAAGGCGTATAATCAGTTTATTTAAGTGGGAAAATCCTTAAATACGAACATGGCATATTTTCATGAGATTATCAAATACAAAAAACGATAATTCACTGTTTAAGTGAATGTGTAGAAAAATCATAGTTGGAGGATTTATTGTCCTTTGTTGCCAGCCATAGTCTACCCAATAAATGACATGTGATGGCGCTGCCCATCGACTAAATAGTTATGACAGAGATACGACGGTGTCAGAGGTGTCATAACTCCTTAGTCAGGATGTTGTCGTTGATCTTGGCAAAGAGGGCTTGGTGAAACACGTAGCGGACAAGTTGCTCACTAACGCTGATTTAGTCAAGAAGTTAGACTTATGACGGTTTGTAGGAACGGGCTGGCTTTTGATTCTCAACATTTCAAACACCACTGTACAAAACTCAACTGATTTCACTCAAAATCGGTACTTTAGTGACAATTGATGACACCTAGACCCTAGATCTAAATAGATCTAGCAGAAAAATACATTTTTTTCAACTTACGAATAGAGTCTAGGTCTAGACTCTACTGATGTTAAAGGTAAAGACCAGTTATGGTCATGCGATTGCATTGTGAAAGAAACGTTGTGGAATCGATCAGAAAAGGTTGATCATCTAGCATCTAGCATCTGCAAGGTTCTGGAATCATCAAAATGATAAGAAATTTGGCCCATTCTTCGCAGGGAAAAAATTAATATTTATTTTTCGGGGGCTACTTTTCAAGCTTGCCTGCATGAAATAACATTCTAAATTTGTTTTGCATTGAACTCTATGCAAACTACAGGGGCTCTTTTAGGCATTTCGGGGGCTAATTCGCCCCGAGCCCCGTGTATTTTTTTCACTGATTCTTCGTAAAGTTACAAGCACTATACACAGAAAGATGTATATGGGACTACCCTATATCTCTCACAGACCATGAGAGAAACAAATTTACCAAATATATGAATTAATAGTAGGCGGTTTCCCGGCAAATTTTTTATCATCATGTATTAGTCAAAACATATTCTTTCACATGATCATTGGTAATGAGAGCTTCCATTTCATTTTTTGAAATTGGGGCGTTTCCAATACTGGCCTTTACCTTTAAAAAGAATAATTTAAAAATTCAAATTGTAAGTCTAGATCTAGTGTCAAATTTGCCAATCATCCCAATCCGTCCTACTGTGTGCAGTCTATGCAATATTGTGTGGTGTGTATATCTGTGTATAATACCTGCCTCACAGCAAGTATGCAGTGCTAGAGGTAGGGTGTCTGATCGCGCACCCGATGTTGTGTGCTAAAATTCTTCCCATAGAGATTACACGCATCCCTATGCAGCCTACGTGCATTGCGCGACCATGCAAAAAAAGTCAATTTTTTTTTTTTTTTCGAGATTCAAACCTTTATCTGTTGTGATCCTGAAGGTGATACTCAATAAATGAGGTGCCATATGAAAGAGCAGGTGAATTCCAATATTTCCAAAGGGGCGTAGCTCCCGAAATTCTAAAAATATCTTGGTCAAAACAGCAATTAAAACATTGTGTCCTGGCTAACTCTGAGGTTTGTCACTTCTGAGATATGACGCCCCGATCAATAAGTAGTCCCAGTCCTAAGGAACAATTCTATGTGCTTATATTTTCGCTAGCCCCCAGGGATCACAACTGATAACAGTTTAAAAATACCCTTCTCGCTATTTGGTGGATCAGCTAATTAGGGGGCGTGCGCCCGCTCAGTCCAAACCATGGTTACATCGCGTAACATCTCTGCGTACGAACAAAACCCCAAATTCAATTACCGGTACACATTATAGTGAATGAAAGAATGGGTGGCCGTTCGTGGCATAGAACCCGGAAGTGAATACACGTTGTAGTCAATGGCAATATCGCGGAGACAACGTGTACCGCGAACGGCCACCCATACTAGTCAATGGCACATATCGCGGAGACAGCGTGGCTCAATCTGCAAGTCGCGCATTGGCTTAGCGACATGCGTACTATATGCATACGCTTGCATATCGCGCGATACAGCTGTTTGTCTGAATTTAGCAAAACAACATCACTCTGCATGGACGTCTTTTTCGTTGATTTTGACCAAAATGATATGAATATACCAGCGTTTTGGTGGGGCTGTAACTTTTGATAGAAACATCGGTGAGACATGAAATTTGAAATGTATTATTCTGATAACATTTTTTATTCAAATATCAAACAAAAATGGTGAAAAACGATCCCAAATTGAAAATTGAAAAATCGTTCAGACACCCTACTAGAGGTCAATACGCATTAGCATTGACTCTCTATGCTTTGCTGGAGCTAGCCTTACGGGCTCCCTCGAAATGTTTTTTATGATATTATTCGAGGGAGCCTTAAATGGCACCCATAGGGTCTCACGGAGAGGTAGATAAACAACAACTAAAATGTGTCCAAAATCACACTTTGCCGCACCCGACCAATATTGGACCAATAGTGGCTTTGATAAATTTTGTTGTAATTGTAGTCCTAATTACCTCCGGAATTAAAAAATCAGAGGTAAAAATAATGAAATAAAAGCAATTTTCTTACCAGACCGATACAGCTCAGCTCCCTTTTCACGTGTACCGTGTGAATTCACGATCTCTACACAATGGTGATGACCTCTGACTGGCACTTCGTAAATGTGCTGCTTCCGTATAATGCGCTGAATACATACCAGAGGCTGAATCTTTTGGTCTAATCTCAAATTAGGAATTTGGTCAGTGGAATGGGACAAACATGTAGTCCTGAACAGAGATTTGTTGTGTACAATACTAGTATCTGTCATTGTTAACCTTTTTTCTCCTAAGAAGTGTTTTCTCCCCTGTGGCACCACAGATTGCTTTCCTTTTTCCTCCTAAGAAGTGCCTTCTCCCTTGTGGCACCGCACCACAGAGTAGAGTCTGCTGGTTATATTTTTTCTTTATGTAGACCTAATGCCATAGTTTAATTTGAAAGTCTACAATATGAAAGGAAATAGATATAATTTTCACATACCGGTAGGTCTACTTACAAAAAAAATAACATTGAAAATCAATTTAAAAATATCAAATAAAAGAACTTACCTTCAGCTAATCTGTTTGGTTGTGTGGAGTTATTGGCAATTGCACGCCAACTGCATTGCATACCCTCCCTGAGCTGCACAGTCGTAAAATAACTGCTTAATGTGTGTGTAGGGAGCTGAAGCACATTATTTTATGTGTGAATGAGATAATTCTTTGGATGATGAATACAAAATGCAGTTAATATTTTTCAATAAGATCTAGAGTTCTACATGTAAAAATTGTTCTCTTAATACAAATTAGCCCAAATTAGATACAAATCTAGCCCAAATTAGATTCAAAATTAGCCAAAATTAGATAAATGACAATATAGACTACATGTGTACATATCTTTAAAGAGAAGGTTGAGTTCTGGGAAGAGGTGAAAAATAATTTGTGAGCGTTATCATTCTTATTTTTCTTATTCATATTCTAAATATGTCATGTAACATCGTAAAAATCTGGGTAGTCGTGTAGTTCGTGTAGTCCCATATACATCTTTCTGTATACAGTGTTTGTAACTTTACCAAGACTTGGCCAAATTTATTATGATTTTGATGACTCCAGAACCTTGCAGTGCACACCAATACTTACGTGCTACATGATCAACTGTTTCAGATCCATTCCACACCTTTTCTTTCACAATGCAATCGCATTACCAGAACTCACCTTTATCTTTAATAGCAAATAATTTTTAATGATTAATATCTTATCTTTTTCTTACCTACTTCATCTATTACACAGGTATGCTTTTTAAAAATGAGGAAAATGTCTAGTATCCGGAAGACCATCCTATTGCAGGTTCTACCCCACCGAAGACTTTGCACCTTCAGTTTCCTCCGGAAGACACACTCACTTCTCCAGATGCGGCGGTCACTGGTCCTTGCAAGTCGACCAAGATGTCTTCACAGTCTGCATGATGCCTCTCATTGTATGGAAAAGAGCAGTGTGTACTCTCCAAAACAATCCTGTGGCAAGGTTTTCCAATCAGAAGGTCCTTGCTTGAAACATGGATCCCTCCCCTCTAACATATCCAGCGGATGCACCACCCAATCCTCCAGACATTTTTCAAGTCATACAAACTGCCTGAATGAATCCCGGAAGGAAGGGACAGAAGATAGATCTATTTCTGAAGCGGCTAATCAACCTAAGAGAGAAGGGGAGCTGCTGAAACACACTAATCTGCTAAGAAGTCCCAAGCAGAGGTTTGTTCTCACCTCCAGCCTAGCACAAACTGTCAGGGAGCGCATCTGGCCTGGTGATAGTCTTAAGGAAGAGACTGCTACTATTATTACAGCTAATGAAGGTGCGGTTCTGTATTTGGATTCATATTTTATGGATTCACATACATTGTATTTACAGTATCAGATACACATTTTCTGTCCAATGATGATTATAACAAAAATCACTCCAGGAGGTGTTTATTTTTACACAACCTTAAACATTTCAATTTGTGGTATGACTTGGGGTTGGCATGTGACTACAGAAATGATTTAACTATCACAGAATTTAAAAGTCTTGATTGAAAAAGGTCATAAAAACACAGGAAATATTTTAAAGAATATTAGGGATATTTAAAGATACTTTAAGGGGGATGACAGTTCAAACATTGAATTTTCCTTGTAAGAGCATTACTAAGTGGAAGCCTTTCACAGGAATTGATTTGAACATAAAAAATAATCTTAATTCTTCATGTTTTAATACATTTACTCATAATGCAAGTAAATGGGCTATCATTAACCTTTACTCTCTCCCTATATCTATGTTCTATTTAGGTCCAGGATTCATGTCAAGGGAGTTGCTGGACAACGGTGCAGCTAGGGTCCTAGGCCTCTGCAGACATGAACAATTTTGTGGTACTCTAGAGAATATCAGAATGGAAACACCTGATTGCTTCCAGTGGCAGCATGCAGATATCTATCAGATGCAGTACATAGGGGACAGGGACATCCGACCACCGGTTGCAAGGATAGAGGATGTCTTTCAAGACATTGAGTCAACCGCATGGGAAGAAGGTGGGTGGAATCTTGAAAGTCCGATGCAATGAAAGCGGCAATATATGTGTTCTGTTTCTTACAAAGTATTACTTCAGACAAATCCCTTTTGGGTGATTGCATACTTTAGAGTAAAGTATTCCCATTTTGTTGATAAATGAGCAGCTTCGTTGTTGGTACATGTAGATAGATAATGACATTTTTAAAATGAACATGAAAGAAGTGTTTCCTTCACTGTTGTGTTTTCTGTATGTGACTTCTTTACTCTGCCTACACCTTGTCATAGATATTGGCCTGAAGGTGGTTGGAGCCTTGCCCCAGGACGGTGAGAGGAAGCACGCCTACGTCCTGGCCAGTCTTATCCTGGAGAGGCTCTCCATGTTCAGCTATGGTCGCGTCCAACTCAACCTCTTCATGAGCAAGAACTGTTACAATGTGAGCAAATACCATGTGGTGGTCAAGTACATCACAGTAGAAGATAAATATTTTTAGAAGGAAATATAAGGCATTTTTATTATCCAAATATTAGGTTCAGTATTAGGCTCTTTTGTTAGTTTTTTAGTAGGTTGGTTTAAATACTTCATTTCTAAATTCTTATCTTATTTTGTGTTCCTTCTGTTATGTGTTTTTATGTTACATATTGTATATCTTGTTTTCTTAAAGGGTTGGCCTCTTACAAGGTTTGTTTCCTTTTTGGTCACTGCCCTCCTCACTTTTATAATTCATCTTATGTATTGTCATACATTTGTTTGTTTATCTATGTATTTTTTATCTGTTGATCTCTTGAGGAGAAATAAATTAATCTGAATCTGAAAAATATCAGAGCCTTTATTTTGTAAAGAGTTGCGATTGATTCTGATTGATCCTAAGTCCTCCGATCAATCGTGAAATTACAATCTCCTTTCTCTTAAGTTTAGTAGAGAGTTGCAATTTATTTAAAGTAGTGATTGGTTTATGTCAATCACAACTGTTTATAAGATGGCATCAATGTCTTTGTAGATTTATTGGCAAGGGACTAATGTAAGATTTTGCACTAACAGCATGTGAGAAAGTCCTTAAAGTTATCCCACGATTAGTTTAGGAGGAAACAAACCCTCTCCTAAATGTTTGGCTTATCTAACCATGCTGAGTGGCTGACAGTGTAAAATCTAATAGTAAACATTCTAAGATTACTAGATTATGGTATTAGTTGTAAGATGATGGCTGTGAGCACCATAATTAATAGCATGGCTAGAACCGGGGTAAGAATGGAGCACCTTTTGTGGTGAATATAGCAGTTTAAAATATTCAATATTATTAGATAAATAGTAGTACATGTAATAGCAGTAGTAATAGTCATTATTATTATTTATCATCATCATCATCATCATCATCATCATCATCATCATCATCATCTTCATCACCATCATCATCATTATTTATATACTTTAATTATTATCATTTTGTATTGATGTTTTGTGTGTTATTATTATTATAAGTAGTAGTAGTATCTGTATAATTTATAAAAGGTAGTGAATCCCTTTTGCAGCCAATATCAAATTCTGTAGAACTTTGCAGGACTTATCTGTGGAATTTAAACTTTAGCAGTGTCCTGGTATTCAAATAATGCAAGGAAACCTGTTTATTTTCTAGACTTCAGACACTATTGAGTGACTGACTGTAACTGTAAAGGGTACATGAGCAAATATACACATCAATAACCCACTTCTTGTAATGGCCAAATTTAAGCTTATCGTATTTTTGCGCAGCACAAAACGTACGACCATATGGTACAAGGGTCTGAAAATCAGACTTTTTTCTACGCATAATTTTTTTAACGGGTTACAAACATTCCTAATGGTCGATATAATTCCACATAAAGGCAATTTCCAGTTCTAATCTTTTCAGGGAAGTTCTTGGTTAGTATTATTTCTTGTTAACCACAGTATTCAAACAAGTTTATCTTTTCAGCCTGCAAAAGGGACACACCACCTTGCGGATTTGCAAGGATGACATCACAAGAGCGGGTCTTGACCAGCAGGCAGAATGGCAGGGACAGATGTCACTGCCACTCTGCCGACTGGTTCAGATATGATAAATAGAAGCAAACTTAAGTTTGTTTTTCTTACACAACACTACTTTTTGATCATCAGTTAATTAATACTGTTCTATTTTCATGTGCAGACATTGATCCATCCCCCTGGGAACATGAAGAGCTACCGAGCCCTTTCAGCCCTCTACCAAGTTTCCTCAGACATTAAACTCCTACATAATGTAAGTGTCTTGGAAAGGAGATTTTACTTTTCAAGATTGTACATTGTACATTGGTGACATTAAATGGCCTTGTAGTAGAAACAGGGCTTTATGAAAATTTTCTGACTGCTTTTCAAATTTTCAAATTTTCAAATTCAATTTTCACATCAAAAGATATACAAACAAATCAGTATAAATTAAACAATATAAATATAAAAACCTTCTTTGATTTTTAAAGGAGTAATAATGTTCCACGAAACTTTAAAGATAATTTCCAAGAGGATTTAGTTCATTACTTTCAATACATTCATAAACAAACAGATGTGTTTATGAATAGTCTGAACCTATACACTGTAGTCAATGTAATCCTAGATTACATTTGTGCTTACGATCTTCTAGCTCCACTATGTGTCTAGTCATTATAAACATATACTGTGTCACTTTGGACTTAGATGCCATATTGAAGTTTTTATGAATAGCCTGTGTTTGTTCGGAGCTAAGATCATTTTGGAAGAATGGATAGAGAAAAGTGGAGCATGTTGCTTGATATGAAAGCGTAGAAATTTACATGCACATTGTATTAATTATATAATTTAAGTAATCTTGATGTAATTGTATAGCGCCACCTTGTGGTCACTCATTTGGATGTGAAAAGATGGCACCAAATTCATTACGCCAGAGAACCAATCCATGAATTCTTGTTGCATCCTGGCATACTATGTAGTTTTTCTCTAATGTAAGAAGGCATCAAGGAGTTTTTACTGTAACAACCAACAGATCATTGAAATCTAGCAATTTTACGACGGATGCTACACTTTTGTTGAATAGAATCTATCTTCTAAAGCTTTCCATCTCTCTCTCTCTCTCACCAGGAACCTATGATGTCTTTCAAGCTACCTCGCAAAACTAAACCAAAGTCAACTGTAAGTTGTTAACAAGAGCAAGATCACTCCTACCATGGGATTGATATTTCAATTTGTCTTTGATACATGGAGATGTGTAAGAACATTGTCTTTAAATGAGACTAATTTTTTATAAGTATTCACACGATGGTTATTCAATGGCACTGTCAAAGATGTGTGCACTAGTGATGAGCTTTATTGTGCCATAACATTTTTTGTGTTCCTTTATTCCATTGAATTAGACAGCCACTCATGATTCCAAAAATCTTATTACCGGTAAATACTCTCATCTCTATACATGCATGAGAGTGTGATTATCAAAAAGAATAAGGGCCACTTTGAACTTATTAAAAAACAAAAATTGTCTTCTGAGACTTCTTGAGCCACATTTACACATCATGTGGTTATCTGCCTGAAAAAAAAACATCTCTGCAAATGACAAAATATTCTTTTCTGTATAGACTGAAAACTCACTTGTTCATGTAGTATGTATAATACAGCATTTACGAGCTCTTGCAGCGCAGTAGAATATATCCATGTAGTTATTGCACTTTACAAATGAATATAGTATTATTATATATTCTGTGCGTAAATAAATGGCCTGTGGGGTGGAAAAAAAGTAGCTGTGTGCAAAAAGGCTCCTATGTGTAGTTGATTATTTTCACTGAATGTATATAGCATTGTGATTCTGGCAAGTTAGTTTGCACTAGCCCTTTTTAGGCAGTTCACCACTTTTTGTGTGATGAAGTTTTAGGATTGAGCCAAGCCGTATAATGGTATGTCTGTCCTCTCTCTCTCTCTCTCTCTCTCTCTCTCACTTAGGCTGCTGTGGCTGTAGAGAAGCAGCTGGAGGACCTATGTCTGGTCCAGATCACACCCAGGAGAGATCTCTTCAGCAGGCATCAGATGGAGCAGTGGGAGGCATTCATCTTCGTCTTCTTCGTCAGGCAGGCCCTGGCAAGACGGAAGGAGAGGCTGGAAAAAGTCATCGAGTACGGTTCTATTTCTATCTTTCAAATTTACACTGCTGTGATCCATTCAGAAAGTACTACTAAGTTTTTGTTATAAAGAAATAGTCTCAAGATTCAAGATAATTTATTGTCTGATTTAAAAAAATACATAAATTCGTCCTCCACTGGCGAGTGACATACATACACAAACAACATAAACAATATATTAATACATTCGAGGATACAAAGAAAATACAACAATAATAATACATATAATAGTAAATCTGAAAACTGGCAATCTGAAAACTGGAGAATGCACAACTTATTGTCACATATAGGTCTCAAGAAATATAACAAAATTTATGAATTTCTCTGTTTTTCCAGAGCTTGGGCCCCTGGCAGTACGGACGTGATAACCGAGTTAGGGTACAACAGGAAGACGGTGACGGGAGACGTAAGCGGAGACGACCTCCTGGCCATCTTCTGTCGCATCTGCAAGCTGGACAACTTCAACGGGGCGTGGATGGGGGAGGAGGTGATGGGTTGGGCCTCTGGAAGACACCAGGATATGAACACCCTGGAACTGAGTCAGGCTCTAGGCTCTGTGCATCTGACGTGATGTCTGGTACGGGCCTTGTCAGAGGGATCCGCTGTAGTATCCGATGGATGAGGCTTTGAGGCTTTGGGATAGAGGCACAGCTTACAGTACATTCGTTAATGATGCCGGATAGGAATTTAACTTGCCTCAGGACGAGGTTAACACTCTTGTTCCTTCACCTGACAACTCAACATTAGTCAAGTTGACTCAGGCATGGCTCAATTTGTCATTAACATGTCAAAATAGTCCTTGCTTGCCGACAAGTCTTGACACCAATGCACCAGAGTTGGAAACAAAGCCAATATGATTGTGTCTTTTGATAAGAATTTCACAATCCATTACCGGGTACCTAATACCCTGCATAGGACTTATTCATTGTGATTTTCTTGCCCGTTGCATTTTGGTTAAAACAGACAATGATATGAATCTAAGGTGACCCCCCCCCCCCCCCTTCCTATGATTTCTCAGAACTTTTATAAGTTTGAGAAGTAAAAACTAGACTCAAGACTTTTTGTGGTAAGGTTGAAAATAATATATACCGGTATCTGAAAATGTCGCACAAACTCTCGTGAAGTTTTTGTGGACTCCCAACTCGTCTTGTTCTAAAGCAAGTTAGGCATGACCTTTGAGAGGTCATGTGGACTTTTGCCACATGTACATTCCTATCATGTGCTGTGAGAATGATAATTCAGGATGACGCCTTTATTAAAGATGAGTGATGAATAGTGTGGTTGAAAGAGGATATGGTCGGAAAGTTCTCTGGCAGCTCTTTGTTTTGGGCTTTCCAGGTCTTTTCATACAGAATGTAAAGGGTTCCATCATGTTTGGCTTTCCTATTAGGCTAAATGAGTAAAACCAATCTTTAGCCAGCATTTTGTACTCTTGACCAATCGAAAATGATCTGATTTTGGTATAACACACATTTTCCATAGACTTCAGGTGGAATTATCTCTGGCTTAAAATTCAACGGATCAATAGCAAGACATTTAGAGGAGGCGCGATAGCTCAGTTGGCAGAGCATTGGTCTCGTAATCGGGCGACCCGGGTTCGAAACTAACTGCCCCTTGGTAAGGCATTAATCACTATTACCAGGTCTCTCAGAGAGGACCTAATGCTGTCGGTCCTCTGGTTGCTTACTAACAAGCACTTATGCTTTCTTATCAGTTAAGTAAAATAACCACCACTACACACGTTCAGTCTTATGAAATTATGTAGAACTTTCAATTAAATGATTTGTAGTTGAGAATGAGATTTTGAAACTCAATTAACAAGTACTGGGGAATGATCAAAATGAATTGGATGGGAGAAACGGTTTACCTAATAGTATTTATTTTTCATGCTGGTTATTTGTCTTTGAATATTTATTCATAAAATAATACTTCAGAGTGGGTTGGTCTTCATCTGAAACTTTAAGAAAGGTTTCTTCTTAATGACAAAGGAGAAAAGTAGAAATAAAAAGGAAGAAAAACAGTAAAAGAGGAATATCGAACATGTGATTTGAGAAATGATAACTATTTACTGCAATAATGTAGCTGTTTACTTGTGTGCTATGAAACGGACTTCCATTCAGTTCTGACAAATTTATAGTCTTATGCATTTCATTTTCTGCCATATATTTCTCTAAGCCCTTCTAGTGATACCTACAAGTTTGTGTCCTAGAATTTAATAAAGTTATAATTAAATAGATTGAATATTTTACCAGAAGTTGCATAAGAATTCTACTGAGTTCAGTAATGGAGAAAATGTACATTATATTCCAAATATCTATTCTGAAATGTCATATTTACAATTTATGAATAAAAATTTTTTTTATAGATGTATATTATCATACACATTTCATCATTAAAAACGTGCAAGTGTTATTAATAGAGTCTAGTATACTGGTCTAATGATTTTTATTCTTATGTAAAGTACACCCTGAGATTGCACTTTTGACATCTAAGAACAGTTAGGAGGATATATGCTTGGTGAATAATGTGATGTTATGTTTTGTGATATTTTATTTCAATCTCGTTGATTGTTTTTAGCTCGGAAGCATGATTTCAATAACATGTGTCTCAAACTCTTGAGAGTGACTCCTACATGCTGCTTATTTGTATGCTTTAATCTGGAGAGGTCAAAGGTCATTGTTCGCAACTTGGCCCGCATCTCCATTTAAAAAAATACTTTCTTGGAGATATCTTCAATCTTCATGCATCTTTTTCATGTTTCCATTCTTTCCATGGAGCTAGAGAGGTCAAAGTTCATGACACTTTGCATCCTTTCAGATTCCATGACATTTGCTCCGGCGACAATTGCTCCGCTGTAAATGTCATACACTAATCGAATGGCTAACTTCAACCCTGGATTCAACACTATACCCTACCCTAAACCTAACCCTAAACCTAACATAAAACCCTATTGAAACCCTAACCCTAACCCTACATCTTAGACGAAATAAAGCCCGGAGCAATTGTCGCAGGAGCAAATGTTGTGTCACCTCCTTTCATTATTGCTTAGGCATGTGTTCTTTGATACTTTCATTGATGATTATCTGTATGCATCTTATTTATATTTTCCATTCTTATATATGTTTCCATCCTACCTATCATGCAACAGGTAAAAAATCATTGTAAAACGCCCTCTCCGTAGACATTAAAGATACTATGTCCCTTTTGCAGCCAACTTCAAATTCTGTAGAACTTTGCAGGAATTATGAATATGTCATGTATGTCCTATCTGTGAAATTTAAACGTTAGCAGATTCCTAATATTCAAATTATGCAAGGAAACCCGTTTACTTGCTAGACTTCACTGTCAGACACTATTGTCAGTATTGAGTGACTGACTGGCTTTTTCTTCTTCTTTGGTAATAACACACATAAAATGAGCTGTAAAGGATTTGTCTACATCAATAACCCACTTCCTGTAATGGCCAAAATTAAACTGATTGAATCTTTGCGCAGCATAAAACGTACGACCATGCGGTACAATGGTCTGAAAATCAAGACTATTACTTATTGGCTCTATAGCTCCTAAGTCAATTTGAAAACTAATAGTTGTTATTTTCCCACTTAAAGACTTTTTCAAGCCCCATTTTTTTTAAGGGGAGTTCTAAATTTGTATTATCTTTCAAATGCCATTGGAATTTAACCTTTTAATTTTTTTTTTTGCCGGCAAAAGGGACATAGTACCTTTAACATCCTCTACCCAATATTTTTCTCATGGTGCATTTTATTCTCTGTTACAAGTTTCCATTGAAACGAGCTATATTCATTATTGCTACAGAAGATTATATGACAGATTGTTCTGTTTGCTGAGAAGCATAAGAGCCTTGCCCAATATAGAGAAGAACTTTATTTACTTGTTGCTTGCTTGGAAAGACATTGTACATTGAACAGGTGTTGTTTGTTGAGAAACAAAATGGCCCTAGTAGGAACATAGACTTTTTTTGTTGGGGGGGGGGGGGGTGTGGAATAATACGATATCATCATTTGCTCTTGCTTATAGGTCATGTAGATTCCCCATTATTTCAGATTTATCATAACGAAAAGGACTGCTATTTTTTAGCTCGAAGTGAACTCGTGAGTACTCTTCCTCGATACACTTTTAATCCCGATTCTGACCAAAGTATCGAAACTATAGCCACAGCAAGATATGTCTTCATGATTTGATAATTTGTTGTATTTACTATTCATGTCTTATGCTCAGGGTCTTCTCTCTCTCTCTTTTCCTCTCTCTTTCCCTCTCTCTCACACAACCATTTCACCATTCTCATGCTATATGCAACAATATAGTAACCACTATGATAACAATTTTCAATCCATGTTATGCATGCATGAGAATTAATTATGTACATGGTCCAATACTTCAATGTGCAGCTGTTTTTATCACATGGATCCATTAAATGAATTCTATAACTAGAAATAATATTTGAGCATTTTTTTCCTTTATAAAGAGAATATTCAATGTAGATCTATAAATGCAGATCTACCAGTGAATTTTTTTTTCTGGAAGAACTCCTTTCATATTATCCCTCGTTATCTCCCTCTGTGTGTTCACTCTTGATACAATCTCTTTTAGTCTCTCTCTCTGTTTCTCTGTCGTTCTTTTGATCTCCCCTCTCTTCATTTTCTGGTTTTCCCCCTCTCCTGCTGTCTTTTCTGCCCTTCGCCATCTTTTCCTTTCTCTCTTTTTACCATTTCTCATGTCTTTTGTTTGTTTACATTGCTCACACATTCCAAGCAAAAAACGCTAAATGCAGTCTCAAGCCACAGGATGCTAGAAGCTATTTTCTTCAGAACTTACTGCAATTTATTATTTAAGTACCTGTACCCAACTACAACCATCCTAAATTACAAACTTAACCATAACATATTATACATGTCTATTTTTACAAATCCATAACTTAAGAATTTCAGTTAACATACACATAAATACTGTTTACACTTAAGGCTCGGGAAAACTCTGTAAAAGCATACATCTTGCCGTGAAGTACAAATTCTTTCGCTCAAGAGAATTACATGCAGCAAATTTCAATGCACATAGTGCATACACATGTATTGTAGTTTGAAGTATAAAATCTTATTTGAAATCTTATTACACTCGAGGTTTGTCATGAAAGGTAGCAAATAATGGAAATATTTCCACAAGACTTTGTGGTTTTCATACACACATATCTCCCTTTCACTACGGTTTGTTTAAAGAAGAGAAAAAAATCTTATTAAAGCTTATCTGCCGTAGTTTACAGGAGGGATTAAACCGCTCTACAAGGTCACTGGACAGGTGGTTATCTTATCAACTCAGCTCTCAGTTAACATAAGAAAAAGAGGATCATGGGGGACCAATGGTCACCGATTAGGCATTGTTTGTTATATAGAGGGCGCAAGTAGCTACCATTAGTGCAGTGGGCCTTTAAGTAATGGTAATTAGGGAAAGATTGGGGAAACCAATTAACCATCACATCATAACATGAGCTGTTCATCTTCATATGAATAACCAAGTTGTCTAGTTTCATAACTTTGAAGTTCTTGAAAGATCATTGAAATCTGATGCTGTGCTGTACAAATATCACAAAGGGTCATTGTGTATTATACATATGCATGTATATATTTTGTTCTTGCACATCAACATATTAATAATAATATGTCTTCTGAAGTAAATTGAGTTTCAGCAAAAGACGAAACAGAAAATTTATCAGAACTATATTTTGTTATATTTAAAGCATGCATGCATCATTTTCCAGAGGAATATTGGACTCTAAAGAGTACCTTTTCATTTACACTAAATATAGTCAGAATGAATGTCTAAATACATTTTTAATATCATTATGTTCCATGAGTGAAACAAAATTCAAATTGAAAGTCAATACTCAATAATGAGAATGATGGCATCAAAGCGTGTAAGACAGCAAGGACATATATTATTTTCTCATATGTTACTAAACAAAAGATGTAAAATACTTGTGTTTGAAATGCTATGGATAAGCTAACTCTATGTTAAGGGAAATCAAGATTCCTTTCCAGGAACTCTTAAAAATGATAGCAAATTCTATCGACATCTTTCATACTCAAACTACAATATCATTATTCTTTGCTACCAAACTTGGAAGGTCATTCAACTGAGCTCCAATAATTCTCTACATAGGTTGGCCTATGAATGGCCTATACACATTTAAACAAGCTACTGATAGCGAGTTATTGGTTTTTTATTCTTCCATGAGTCCACCACTACACTGTAGTGGCGGAACACTGGTATATTCAGACATACATGTATTTCAATACTAGACAAATTTAAATACATGTCAATTTGACATACAGGATAATAATGAATAAATTCTCTTATAAGTGAGTATTTTGCATCTTTATGCAAATAAATAGATAAATACATGTATACTTTTCAGACTTACAGTATAAATATTCGAAACATACACTATTTCTGATAGAATTCTCATCACAAAATAAATATGACCTTTAAATGAAACAGAAATCTAATTTCACTTACATATACTGCTTCAGTACTGAACTACTATACTTCGACAAGATAAATTGGATTAACATTTTTTACCTTCCAAACACTAATATACACAAATACATTCAGTTTCTTGCAGTTTATGTGCTCTATCCTTTCTATTAATGAAAATACATGTACATAACTTTAAAAAATACAAAACATCAAGGTATTGAGCATTTTATTCTTTGAATAATTATTCCTTTAGAAGGAATGAGGGTTAAATACTGATTGAATTTTATTATTTATGCCGTGAATTGGTAATAAGGCAGCTGTACGATGAATAGAAATTCAATCTGAAATTACATTTGACAGAATGAAAGCACAGTGAATATGTGCCAATAATATGTGAATGTCGGCTATAAATATGAAACATGTATTATCATACATTACAATTTCATAAATAAATATTAGATTATTTACATTCACTCTAGATACAGAACAGTGGTTATTCCAGTAAAGAATATTTTTTAATGGCAACATTAAAGTAATACATGAAATAAAAATAATAAATAGAAAATACATTTTCAGTAATGTCAAATAAGATAAATGCAATTCATTTAAGAATTTAATACATTGAAATACGACCAAGTCAGACCGAATGAGCTATACTACGGGTAATTAATAAGGTATATGAATGGGGGCAAAAGTTAGAGACTGAAAAGGAAAGGGGAATAATTTGTCAGTGGTAAAGAGAGGTTATCTTTATGAATTACCTACATTATCTAGTTACCTACACACTCTTTTATTGCTGGAATAATCTGATCATTGCAGCACTGCCGGTAGCTAGAGTAGATTGGCATGATCCTCCTGCCACAGCACTGATACACATTGGGATTGAACATGCGGCCTCCACAGCATTCCGTGTGTCTGCCTTCCCTTCGCTTTACCTCCCCGCCACAGCACACCTCCTCATCGAGATTACGCACCACGCTGTTGCCGCAACACTGTCCGTTGGCGATGTGCTTATGGAGAATACCCTGGCAGCATGTATGCTTGGTGGAATTGTAGGTTCCCTCGCTGCACACCATGTCTGCGTCATCTGACCTGAAGACATACAGGTCTTCCCCGGTCTGATGGCACACCTCATCGCTGATGTCGTAGTACATATTGCCGCAGCATTGTTGCTCCGTGGCTAGGCTTTTGTAGAGGGACACCCCACAGCAGGTTTTGTTTGACCGGTCATAGGATACTTTTCCACAGCACTGTGTGTCTTGGCTTTCTTTTATGTATCTGAAAACAAAAATCAGATTGGAAAGAGATGAGTTGATTATTGGTATTTACAGAACATGCATATTTATTACATTAGGACATTGCCCATTTTCTTCCCACCATACAATGTCCACAGACTTGCTTGCACTGTCAGCAATCTTTAACAAGGCCAAGGCACAATTTTATAATCAGTGTATTCCGCATGAAAAGATATTTATACATGACTTTGGAAACAAGGTAATTGCTTCAGTGTACTAACAACAGTCTCCATTATCCAATTAAAGGAATGGATACAGGTTGAATGTAGGTGCTTAAAGACAGTCCCAAACATTTATACAAAAATTTACTGATACAAATCTGGTAACAACGAAAGACACAACATCCGATCCTGATAAGCAATTTCTGCAGGGATATCAGTTGGATTCTTCTACATGTAATTGCTTGGCTTGATACAACAAATCCAGATACGTTAGAGCCCAACGATCTGGACAATTGAGAGCCTAAGACAGTGAAAAAAATAAACGGGGGCTCGGGGCAAATTAGCCCCCGAAATGCCATAAAGAGCCCCCAAAAGTAATAAAAGAGCCCCAAAAAATTTGCATAGAGTTCAATGCAAAACAAATTAAAGAGTGTTATTTTTATGCAAGCAAGCTTGAAAAGTAGCCCCCGAAATTTTTAAAATAATATTTTTCCCTGGCCTGAGAAAGCATGGAACAGAGCAATAACAAATCCTGAAATATGGCATCCTTGATTCTGATACTTACGGAATATGTTCACAGCATACATGGTTATCCAGGTTGATTAGACTCTTCCCGCAGCATACTTTGTCAGGAGAAGCTGGATGAACAACCCCATCGCATACAATCTGGTCCGACCGGTGAGGAGAGGTCCCTGTGCATTCAGTCTTTCCTCCAGTGACGGCGTAGAGGCGATCTCCACAGCACATGGAGCTAGCGTCTGCAGGATCATAGGCGTCTGAGCCACAGCATTCTGCTGTAACAAAGTGGGCACCAATTATTATTAGATAAGATCAGCGATTATTATCTGAGGAAAACACTGATGCTATGTTACAGCATCTAATCTAGTAATTGACAAGGTGTGTATATAAAGGCTTGCTTAATTGTTTCTCATATACCGGTATGCAGATCATGCATCTGGAGGCTAGGACTTACAGAGAAAAAAATTCTCAGAAAACCTCTCCCAAGAATCTAATACCAACATTTAAAGGTGTATCAAGAGTCAAATAGTCAAGGTTATTCAACGCAAGGTAATTGTTGCACTGTCTTTAAGATAAAAAGGGATTTTGTACAGTTATAGAAGCCCCTGATCTAGCTCTGGCTGGTTGCAGACTCGAGTTTCTCAATTATAATCCATAAGTCTTTATATAGAAAAGAAGTCTTTACCTTGTCCACTCTTGACATGAACCTCTCCTTGGCAGCAGATATGTGTCTGGTCGTTGTAGCCCTTGGATGACCCATCACTTGATTTGCAACACTTCCCTTCTCCTAGGCTTGTTCCTGGAGTGTCCCAAGCACGGATCCCCCCACAGCAGGTGAAACCAGGCCCTATCAGCTCCCTATTACAGCATTCATGATCGACCGGGTTGAATGGTTCGGTCCCGCATCTCTCGGGATATTCCTCCACTTCGCTTATAGGACGGATTTCGAAATTTACGTCGCATGTGTCAGTTTGGTTGTTGAATGCTTTATCACGGCATTTCCTGAAGAAAATGGGGGAAAATATGACACGGTTAGCTGCGTTTGAACTCTAGGTGAAATGATGAGTTACAATACCATGATGAGCTGTAAGAATGCATGTACAGACACAGCAACAATTTAATCTACTTTGCAAAGATGGGAAAATTATTTCACTCCAATTTTGGCACACATCTCAAGGCCGAGACGGATATCTTTGGCAATAATATCAGCAATCAGCAACTGGAACATGAAAGATGTATTTGTCTATGTAACTGCCTACATTCCTAACAAATAAGAGAGAGAGAGAAAGAGGGAGGATTGGTAAACCTACCCTGCATATATTTCAGGAATATCATCAAAGACATTTCCAAGGAGGCAGGATTGCGAGCTCTTGTCATAGGCGTTGAAACCACAGCAAGCTTTGTCAGCGTTGTCATGGATGTGGTTATCGCAACACAGTTGACTTTCAGGGTTATAAGTTCCACTTCCGCACAACTGATGACCGGGAGAAATGGCAGTCACACCATCCCGAATGTCACAGTACTGTAATTAAAAGAAAAAAAGATATCCATTGAAGCATCCCAATGAAGACCATTCATCAAAATATAGAGCAGGTATCTCCATTACTTATTCCATAAACAAATCAATTTGCAGGCATTTCATGTCTCAATAGTTCTTTGATATATGTCTATCGCTACGTTATGATTTAGATTAAGACGTATCCTGGTAGATACGTTTTAACCATTGTTTACGAAGACCACCCTCCTGTTTCTCTCTAATTATCTTAAATTGCCTACCGGTACACACTTTAAGAGTGCTGTGAAGAAGTAAAAAGGAGTTTGCTTCTAATATTGGAAATGTCATTTTGGTTCTGAATGATGCTGTGGATATTTTTGTTTAATCCATCTGTCTGACATATATCTATCTCTACTAGATGAGGTCAGAAATATACTGTTTCCTCTTGTTGGTAATTGAAAATCTGGAGGTAGTAATGAGTCAGTGCCTCTTTGTTGGGCTGGTATGTTAAACTATGGTTCTACAATGATTGTACCGGTATGCAGAAAACAAAGAAGAATGGCTTACTGTCTGCTCCTTGTTGAATGTCGTGTACGTCATTTCATCATCGCCATTGTAGTACCAGCAGACTTCATCATGGTTTAAATTGCTCTTCTCAATCAGCACATTTTTTTCACAGAGCTGGTCTGCTCCCTGAAGCTGAGCACCACAACATAAATGGGGTGACGTAGGTACATCATAAATATGTCCTGTTGATTGAGGGAGAAAGAAGAAAAAATTGTTAAGATTTGTAACAATATCATAATTTGTTTGGAGCCAGAAGCATATTAACTCATTTTAATGCAGGTCTAGGTAACACCTTTCCGGCTCTGAATGGATAATAAATTCTTTATAGCTCAATTCAACCAGTATGACTTGATACATTATCTACTGATTAAGCATATATCCTACATTAGACAATTGGACAAATAAAAAGAGTAAGCATAATATATATATTGGTTCATTGATGGATTTTGCACTGCATCAAATATTCTAGATGACCTAACATCATACATGGAAACAGCCGTTTAGACTAGGACAGCTAGAGACAGAAGAGAATGGAAATGTTATGAGGAGGGCTTTGTCCAACGTCTGGATGAACTACAGCCTGATAGATAGATAGATAGAAATATTCTAGAAAGCATGTAAACTGCAAAATTGAAGAAAATGTTCATGGTTCTGTTATCGAAAGCTGCTAAAACCATATGCTACAAATGGTGTACAGTAGATCTATTGATGAAGGGAGCTAGGGAGGGGGAGCTATTCCTTACACTGCCACCCCCCCCCCCTTTGAATTGACAGCCCTTCATCTAGATATATGTTATATGCTGCTTTCTACATCACATTAATATCATTTTAAATCATGCAATGTTTTATGTACATGTAGTGTAATTCAGCAGCAACTTGGGTGGCCACTTACCAGTATAAGTCGAAGCATTCCAATCCATAACCCCACAGCAGGTTTGTCTCTCATTATACACCCCAAACGTGTCTGCGGTCAGTAGACAGCATTTTCCAACTGATGATACAACTTGTTGCCCACAGCATGTGTGGGTGGTAGGGTCAAAACGCAGAGAAGCGCAGCATTGGTCAGTAGTAGTACGCTTTAGTAGTATGCTGTCATGGCAACATAGATGGGTCCTCGTGTTGTAGGTATCTGGTCAAACAGGGGCAAGAAAAACATTAAGAAATATTGTTAATATACCACTTTAAATCAACCAACCCTTTATTTGGAACGGTTTGAACTTGTGTATTCTCTGGCTCAGTCACGATCAAACCAATGGGTTTTGTGCATCCCTCTTCACAACCTTGCACTTCGAACATTGTTCTGCCATTACGATAAGATCTGTCGTTACTATTAGCATGTCTGGTATGTAGACTTATGCCCAACGTGGGGCATACTATAGTAACTGGCTTCAGACAATTAAGACTGTAGTTCAGATTTCGATGCAGTAAACCGCTGAAAATTCATTGCCTTCTTATTGTTATTATATGCAAAATTAACCGTACCTGCGCGCAACAAGGGATTCACGAGTATCTAGTGAGCTCTGTTTTTATAAGATTCAGAAATGTGAAACGTATTGGACTTTTCATCATCATAGAAATGTTGCTTGTTTGCTCCGTCATAACTGAACAAGCATTTAATCTTTTAGGTTGGATATGGGAAAAAGATGTGTGTAATTACTACCAACTCATGATACACAGGAGGATGAAGTTTTTAAGATACTAACATTTTGGAAAGGAACTACCCGGTACATATAATGGTAGACAATTTGGTTGTCTTAAAGATCTGCCCTTATGACCTAGGAAAATACCAATCAAATCAATTACCATATGGACAGTAGTTAAACGAGAAATAAATTTACCACTTCCGCAGCATTCAAGGTCTTCTTCTCTGTCAACAAGGTTTTCTTTACAACACATCTTGGATGAAGTCAGGTAAGCTTTCTTTCCGCAACACTGTTGGATGCCAGAAATCTCTGGAATGGAACTGACCTCGGGATTGCAACAGGACTGCTTACCCGGTTGGTATGCTGAAAAGTTCTCGCGAGCTCCAGTGCAGCATTTTCCTTGTCCTGTACATTAAAAAGAAGGGAATGGCAAAATCAGTTTCATTCAACAGCTTATACTACTATGCATAGATAAATAAATCACTAATATCTCTTTGAAATTAAAGCTGCATGGTTGGCGGAGTACAAAGAAAATGCCGGGCCTGAACCTAATATTTTCAATGAACAGTTTACGACGTAGCGCATAACTAGATTGCAGAAATGAAATCTGAAATGTGGAAGATGATGTCAAACCCAGATGCACCACAATATTTCCTTTTGTATTAGGCAGGTTCATTATGGAATGTTGAAGGATGTTTTCTCTCTAATCCGAGTAGTAAAAATAAAGGCTCATTTATTTTTTTAATCTAGATGAAAACAACTCTGATCCTTTGTCAATTTCAAATAAGTGTTCAAATGATAACGAAAAATTAAAACCACCATTACAAACCCTGGTGTACTTCTGAACAATGCAGACACTCACCAAGGCCGCGTATTGCACCAAAACAGCAGAATTCATTCTCTGGATTGTACGCCTGTACGCCGCAACACTCATATCCACCATTTAGACCTCTTGGAACAGCAACCCCCTTACAGCATATTTCTGTGGTCACATTGTAGGTGCCACTTCCACAACATTCTAAGAGAGGTTCCCTCTGTATTTGCTCCTAAAGGTTGAAAGAAATATTGATAAAGAGAAGAATAACAATGATAACATTAATGATGATGATAATGATATAAATAATAACAAAACAGCAATCACAATTGCGATTATTAATACTAGCAGTAGCATTTACCTGGTCCTCATTTACTAGACCTGGGATGGCAGTGGCAAATGTAAATGAATCACAGAGCACTACTTCTCTTAGCAAAAATACCTAAAAGTTTGAGAAACTAAACTTATATGGTATATTTTCACCAAAGAAAATTTAGACGGGAAATGACAAAGCTAACATAGCTTAAAATTTTTAAAAACAAATTACAGCCAGTATTGGTGGGATTCCATGTTATTGAGGTCAACTAGACCAGCTGATATGACACTCTAGGAAATGATAGTAAAACAATGGAAGAGATTGGAATTGCCAATCCTTTTGCTACAAATAGGCAACTTCATCGTCACAACATGATTTCCCTGTAGTGCTAGAACTCTAGTCTATATAATTTCACTAACCATATTGCAGCACATGTGAGTGGAAGCATCCATGCTGTTTAAACCACAGCACTCCATCTCCCGCCCACTCGGTCTCTCTCGGATTATGGATCGTTCTCTTCCAACCTCGCAGCAGAGCTCCCTCTCTGGATAGTAGGGACCGCTGATTCCGCAGCACTTGGGGTCACCACCAAATCCTGGGAAACCTTGTAATCTGTTATTGGGGCCAGGACAGCATACTTTGCCTGATGTAAAAACAGATGAATTTTCCAGATAATTGTACCAGATTATGGCATTGACATTAGTCACATTACTGTCATTTAGTCAGTTATTAATAACTTTTGTGTTCATGGAATCTCTTGATTGTTCAATGTGCCTTGGGCGCCATTATAGACGGTTTGTGTGCTTTACAAATCTCAAATGATCATGATTATATATTCCTGAAAACACTGCAACAAAATGACAAGAAAGTGGTTAAATTGACAGATTTCAAATTGAGTTTAAAGATCAAATAGTTCAGCCTTGAGCCAAAGCTAGAAAGAGGTATGTGTCTTGATCCATGATACCATAGAACAGAAATTGGTTAAAAAATTGGTTTTGAGAAAACTGAAATGAAATTTTAAAATTTCCAAAATCTTATGAGCTTTTAAGGCCTACTAAAATGTTAAACTTTGCAGTACCTTTCAAACGAGGTCCACAAATATTACACCAGTAAAAAAATACAAACACCCACAAAATCAACTTACCTTCTGACATATCGACAACCTCTGCGCCACAGCAAGTTTGGGTGGTTTCATTGTAGAACTGTTGACTGTTGCAGCACTGCAGATCAGGTGTTATGTTTCTCAAGGTGTTACCACAGCATATCTGTTGCCCATGGAAGTAATGTGTTCCACTCACTATATCAGCATGAAAAAAGGGGGACATTATATAATTCACAAATGTTAATTAATATAATTTTTTTAAACATAATCAATTTAAATTAAACAATTGAATGAAATACAAAATAGACTTCTAGAAATAAAAAATGGAATCAATGAATGAAATTCTTGCTTTCATGACTTTATCAATATCATTTTCCATTCCAACAAAATTAGGCTTACCTGGCTTTGGATATTATAATTATAGTTATAGTCTAGTCTATTCATGACTTGTTATTAATTTATAATTGATATAATTATAAATGAGGATCGAACATTCAGAATAAATAGTAATCATCATCATATTAAATTCATTATCCACAAATATAGATTATAGATCTAGATATCTAGTACTTAGCATATGATGACTAGTAGTAATACACTATATTATATTCATACAACAATTAAAAAGTTATACTACAAAATTAACATGCAAATCATACACGAGTCACTCATGAGGTTGATGAAGAATTATTTACCTGTCCCTCCACAGCAGGCCCTGGTCCCTACCGCTGTCGATGGCTGCCTCTCGACTTGGCCGCCGCAGCATATTTGTGTGTGTTGGTCATAATTACCATCACCGCAAGATTCCATCCGGCCTTCTGCTCCATTGAAACCTGAGTGAAATGTGGAATAATTAATTATATAAATGTGGAATCCATTTCCATTCTTACAAGATCTAAAAGAGGATTGGTCCCAGAATAGGCATGATAATCTCTACTTTGTTGACTAAATGCGTCAGCGTAAAGTAATACCCTAGCCTAGGTCAGGCCTAAATGTTTTGCTCTCGCCATGCGCCAAGCAGTTCAGAATGGCGCGCTCCGAAAACAAAAAAGAGTGCCTGGGGGGTGTTTCACAAAGATCCTAAGTAGAACTTAACTCTAAGTTGGACTTAAAAATTATGGACAGCCATTGGAGTATTAAAATGAAATATATTCAAAAGCAAAAATTTAAGTATTTTAGACTTCTCATTCATTCCACATCAAGAACATGTCATCTCCTTGATAATAGAACATATGTATGATTTGAATCAGTATTTTATGCCTTTTAAAATAACTTTTACAAAATATTTTCAGAGATGCTAATGGCTTTCCATAATTTTTAAGTCCAACTTAGTGTTAAGTTCTACTTAGGATCTTTGTGAAACACCCCCCTGGTTTTAATAGCCGAGCTAGATAGTACAGTAGTCTGCAAGAAACAGACTCTATAAATGTCACGATTAATCACAATTAAAAAGTCTTCAACCTAATTCTTTAATTTCTGGCTTTATTGCTAGTTAAAAGCAAATATAGTGCAGGGACTATGTTGTGCAGTAGATCGTGCAGTCTGTATATTCGGATTCTCACACCTCAGACACTCTAACAAGACATGGGTTTGAGCCTCCAGACTAGACACTACACTGTGTACGTCACATGACTATGGGGGAATTCCCGGACTCGGGGAATCCCATAATTGTTTGCTCTCGCTGCAGACTTCGCCGCATGTGTGTATTTGACATGACAGGAGTGTATAGTACATCTTTGACAATCAGGCTTTTATCTCGCCTGCTATAGATATAGCAAGGAAGGAGAATGCATATGTTGATAAAATGTGTCGATAACTACATGTCATTACGCAATGCATCAAGAAGTTTCAGTGGTCAATAGTCAATAGATCATCCTATATGCTTCTATACTTATGCGTTATTGCAAGCTAGCTCAATATCAGCAGTTCAATGTCCTCAAAGGTCCCATTTCGGATAGGGGTGTAACAAAAAGCGCTTTAAGAGAAAAAGGTTTAAGTTTTCGGGCAATCGCTTTGTAAGTTTTTTCGCCCAATACTCCATATGCAAGGTCATGAAAATAATAAACTTTTTGAATTTTTAAAAACCTTTAATTCCCCTTGGGTTAATTTTTCGAAAATTGTTCCGATCATTTTGACTAATAATATAATATAATAGAGTGTGAATAGATGTGAAATGTGTTTCTAGATGGCGACGCACGGACTTCAACTATAACGGAATTAAAACAGAATAACGAAACGAATAAATTTGTGAAAAAAATTCAACACACAACTATTCTAAATGAAAAATATTTGTATCTAGATGGCGACGAATGGACTTCGACTATAATGGTTTTGTTGTTAAATAATGAAACGAATAAATTTGTGAAGAAGATTCAAGACACAAATATTTCAAATGAAAAAAATACATATAACCACTGGTTCAACTTAGACCTCGGAAACTTTCCAATGGACATCTTCCTTATCTAAAGTTTCTTATTTCTCTTTATTGAAGTAAAAATGAAATGAAATTATCTTACCCATAAGAACTGTCATCGCCAAAACGACGACACAATATGTTGTTTCGAAAGTCGACATTTTGAAGCTGATAAAGCTTATTCAGTAATTCTCTTCTACACGCCAAATATCTCTCCAGAACTTGTACGAATGTTGATAATATCAGCTGAGAAATAAAATAGATTCTTCCAAAAAGTAATGTTAAAATGCATAACATGCACAATAAGATGTCGTAAAGCAATATTACTCCAAAGAAGAGACGATTTTGATGTGAATCCATTCTGCCGATTTTCTGGCCTATATATACGATTTTTTGCCCTTCCATGGTTTTTTACCAAGCACCTGAAGTGGACTGTACGATAAGAAGTTTTCTCATGGAGCATGAACAGGCTCTAACTTTACCATCGCATTGCCTGTTTAAAGTGGTTTTCCCCACAACTCAGCGATTCGTTACGCAACATGCATCGCCCGTATGCCGAGCGCTCTCAAAACCTGCGCCGCAAAACGGAAGCAGTTGAAAGCGCATGTTCAAATGCCTTTATGAAGTGAAAGAGATTTAGTTCTTGTCGTCATACGTCATCGAATCGGGTAGTTAGCCGTTTGGGATCAGTATATATATATGATGGTTATTTTTATGCAGTTGATAAGAAAGAAGTGTTTCCCCTAAATCGAAACGATTCTGTTATGTTTCCGTAAAAGAGCGAGAACCTCGCATGGATTCACCTCTCAATCGGGTAAAGTTTTTTAAATGGGTAGGCCTACCAATACTCTTTGAATAGTATTGATGATCAATCATCTATATTTTATAGTAACAACTAAATAGATCAATATTATTAAATTATAATCACTTGTTATGATGATATGTGGCCATTGTGATGGCGGTGGGATTAGTGGAGGGAGGATTAGTGGAGGGAAGGAAGGGAGGTGAGGGGAGTGAAGGGGGAAGGGGATAGGGCCAACTGGAGTAAAATAAGGGGAAGGAAGCGGAGGGAGGAGGGGGGAGGGAAGGTAAGTGAGGGGAGGGAATGAGGGATGGAATAGGGCCAAGGAGTACAATGAGGGAAAGGGAGAGGAAGGAAGGGAGGAGGAAGGGAGGGGAAGGGAGGGGGTGGGGAGAGAGGGGTGCAGGGAGGGGATTGAGGGAAGGATAGAGGGGCTATGAGGTGAGGGAGGACGGGGAATGGGGATGGGGGAGAGGGTTAGATAGAGAGAAATCGAGGGAAGGAGGGACGGAAGAAATCGAGAAACAAGGGAGAGAGGGAAGGAAGCGAGAGGAGGGATGCTGGGGTGGAGAAAGAGAGAAAGAGAGAGAGATAGGCAAGAGCAAAGGAGGGGAGGGAGGATAGGTGAAAAACAGACAAAAATGAGAACATAATGATATGAGAGATAATGCGAGAAAGGGATTTCTGTTTAGAAAAATTAGTATTAAGCTCGCAGATCAAGGGCTTTTGAAATGTAGGCCCTCTTATAGTGTTTTTTGTGCATTTTGCCTTCAATTGTACTATTTTAAACTTACATGAAATAATGAAGAGCAGAAAAATAAATTATACTACTGACACTTTTAGAAGAAAAAAATAAAGCAAAACATAAAGGAAGAGAATACCGTTATAGTCATGTTAGACGTGACAGGTGTATGATATATCTAAATGTAAATGAATATATAAAGAAAGGAAACGGAATTGAATACCTGCATAACGATCACTAAAAGGAAATACCATGAAGACCTACGAGTAAGAAGAAGTCATTATGATCAAAATAGAGTAAAACCCAGGACAATTCGAAGTGATCTATAAAACAACAGGGTTAATGAAACTTCAAATATTCACTGATATTATCTAGACATTGATAAACTTTGCAAGTTGCACTGTTCATTATTGATTGATTTTTTGTTTTAATATATATATATATATATATATATATATATATATATATATATATATATATATTGTTTTGTTTGTTTGTTTGTTGTTGTTCTCGTTGTTGTTGTTTTTTGTGTTGTTTTTTTGTTTGGGGGGGGGGGTAAGGATCAGGAGGGATACGCCGGCTCCTCTCCTATATGCTACCATACCATACTAGGACGATGGTTGTGTATAGAACGAATCAAAGCGAATTAGAGGAAGTTAATTAAACATGAAACACATAGCAATTAGATAATCTGGGCCTGTATCTCTTTTTTCTTTTCCGATAATAATTTTGAAGAAAAAGGGAAGGCTAATGGAAATTCTGATTAACCTTAGAAAATGATGAGCTTCAGACCGACCTGTGTGAAAGGCGTGGGAACAAAATGACAAACGAAAGCAAGATATATTTCTATGGGTATGATTTAAAACCGCAATAAACGGTCACACCTATATACCCGGAATGAAATCAGATGAGCTCTTATTAATTTTCTCTTTCCTTTAGTTAATTTTGTTTAACTTTGTTTTAATTCCTTTCAACTTTTATTTCTAATCAGTAGCACCATCATCGCAATTTCAGTAAGTCTACAATTTTGATCATCACTAGCATCCTCTCCATCATTTACTTGACCATCATCATTGTCATCGTTGTCATCATTATCATCATCATCATCATCACCGTCATCATGAAGCATGTCTGCTCTTACCACGATTAGGTAGAGCGTAGCGAGCGAAGCAAGTGGAGCGTAAATTGGCGTGGGGTCAAGAGGCTGAGCCCCGGACGCCCAGGGTTTTTTAGGCATTACATTACGGTCGGATAAGCATATTTAGATACCTTATTTGTGACACTGGCAGGTCACTAATTGGCGGGGGTCTGGGGGCAGAGCCCCGGAAGCTTAGGTGTTTTAGGTACTTAATAACGGTCAGATGAGCATCCAAGGGGCCTCTGTAGGGCCCTTGGTGGGGTCCAGGGGGCGGAGCCCCCGTAAGCTCAGGGGTTTTATGCATTTAATTACGATCAGATGATTATTTAAATACCTCATTTGTGACTCTTTCATTCTTTTTCTCTTTAACATACTTTTTCAAAAAAAAGTGAGGGGGGCTCGAGCTCCCGAGCCCCGACATTCTGCAAGCCCTGACATGAAGGCTTCTATAATAGGCATATTTTTTCGCCCGACTGTATATTTGGGAATTTGTAAGTTTCCAACAAAAAAATCATGTCATTTTATCAACATGTGTAAATCACTGGTATCAAATTAGAAATGACCCCCCCCCCCTCCCCGTCAGTACGCTAGTGTTTATGTCTTCTCACCCCTATGATAACAAACACACACGCTTTCCCATCCTCTCCCAATATTTCCACGATATCAGCGTATCGCTATTATAAAAACCTCCATTGATAAATATAGAGGCATGCGGAATGTATAGGTTATTGAATTATATAATTCATATGTGATTCAATTCCTTTTTAAAATTATTTGTTATGTTCTTTTTGGCTAAAAAACCATCTTTACTACCTTTTTTTGGGGGAGGGGGCGAGTGCCCCCCTCCTGCCCCCTCCTGCCCCCTCCTGCCCCCTCCCCCTCACTTCCGGCGCCTATGATGCTCC